CATACAAAGCTTGAAAGGCCAGCTCCTAGATCCTGTCTGTGCGGGTCAGGCTGCAAGCCCCGTCAGTAGGTAGCAGAGAGTACAGGAGCAGCCCACTTGCCCACACTTCAGCCAGGACGGACACAGACAGCAACACAACTGTATTCCCGAGTCTCTACAGTGTCCATAGTCCTCCTGATTAGGGCCACTGTCAATTAACATCAGCCCAAGCAGATATTTTGGAAAATCTGAAGGGAGACTGATAATTGCCTGGGTACGTAGTTAGTTACCAGCCCGCACAGAATTAGATTTCCAAAACAATAATAGAAAAAAACAGTAAAATGATATGAATACGCACCACAGGTTCCTCAGCTCAGGAGGATTGTTTGATTGTGTTAATGCAGTCATGTTTCAGAGCTCCGTGTGATGATCGCACACACCCTTATTCCTACCCCCTAGCTAGTGTAAAAAAGGTACACGGCAAGCCCTCGGCAATACGTTTTGCGGTTATGGTGTAGAATGACATTTAATATGCTAACCATTCACCCAAAAGCAGATGTGTGACACATTCAGGACAGCACTGCCTGAATTGTACAGGAAATTAAAGCTTTGCAACGCGGTTGGCACTGGGAAGAACACCAGCTCAAAGTATCGGAGCCTCTCTCCTGGCGAGCAATGAGCTGGATGCAGTTTCTGGAACTGAACTGGGCAGGCGAAACATCAAAAGGTCTGTGAGGGATGCCTGGCTGCCATACCAAGACATAAAGACCTTGCACGTCCATTTCTGACTACCAGCTGTTTTTCTGTGCAGAGGGAGAATTCGGTGGCTAACTCTTGGGCTTACTGAACAGTTATGGGCCCGACAGGAATAATTTGCGCCACCAGTGCCACTACATGTCAAACTCAAACCACACAGCAGGATATAATTAGTCACTCTGGGAACACATCTGTACTGTAGGCCAAGGCAGCTCCAGCGTACTTGAGATAAAAAAGGGATCGGAGTCTGGATCACACATGCAATCATTCTTCACGCTACATGTGACTCATGACGCTGTGCCGCATGCTGGAGGAGCAAAACAAGTTGAACTTTTCCTATGCTTGGAAGCCCTTGCCTTGCTGTACTCTTATGGGTGTTTCTGTAGGGGCCCCTGACTGTGGGCTCTATCCAGTGCATGCTCAGCCAGGTCAACACGCAGCAATATGGAGCTGTGGCCAGGGCTCTGAACACGTCGCTGGAAGGTTGTGTGTTCGAGACACTGCTACCGGACCATTGAGCAAAGTGCTTCATGCTGAAATGCCCAGCATTAGAAACGGGTGCAGATGGAAGTCCCTTTCCATGAAAGGGTCAGCCAAACGATCACGGGAATAATAACAGCAACTTCAGGGTCCGGGATCTGGATGGGCTGGTCAGTCATGGGCTCCACGAAATGAGTACTTTTTAACGGCTCCTGGGGGTCTTGTGGACCAAGGTTCCCTCTGACCCTCATGCTATTTTAGCTGGGAAAACAGAATGGCTCTCTGCTTTATTTGTAATAAGTTAACACGTTTCTCACAGACGTGCTCATTTGCCATTTTTAAGCCTCTTGCAGTATGTAGGTTGCAAGGTTGGAGTTCTAGAGATTCGGGATGTTAACCCTCTGGCTTTGTAATAACAACAGCAAAGCAATAAGATGAAAAGTGGTGCAATCCTGCTGAAGGGCACTGTAAGGGCTGGTTATCATTTTAAAAGTAGCTGTAATGAATAAATCATGTGTGATACACGAACTGCATCTAACACTCTGGCCAGAGTGCTGCTTTGCTTTTTGGCTAAAGTCAGATTTCTTAGGAAAATAGCTTCTACTTTCAAGCCATGTAGCGAGTCCACAGCTACTAAAATCTTGTAGCGTTTAAGCATTTAATCCCACTTGTTCTGTTTTTACCTTGAGGATGATGTTACAGGATGCTTCTGAAAAAATCCCGGAAGAAAACCCAAAACAGGATTCGATAATGCAGTCGGAGTAAAATCTTATTGCTTGTTAATAGGAATTATTCCCTTCGCCCCCATAGCACCTTGGAGAGGAACATTTCTTTTGTACTGTGTGTAGAATTTCAATTGTCAGAGGAAGCCAATTAAATTTCTGTTACCACACATTGCTCTATAATTACAGTACCTGTCACCGAATGGTTACTTTTAAAAAGCTCTGCTTTGCTGTTTAAGAAGGGAAGCTAGCGTGAACTGTACTTGTATCCCGTAGTTCCCACTCGTGTCTTAGGGCAATTAGCAATTCTGCATCGGACTTGCAGAGTCTTCCTATTCATTTCAGAGCAAAGGGCTCCAAACTCAGTGAGTAGTGAATAATGGACTAACAGAACTGTCTAAAACCGTATTGATGTTTTTTTGGCGGTGATCTCCACACCAGGGCATGATAACAGTAGCACTGGAGGTGTTAAAAGTCCCCCAGACACGCACTTCTTCGACATTTGGGACTCAGCCACATTCTTTCTGAGATTCTTACATCAACTGCCATCTTACTGGTCTAAAAGCCATCTAATAACTTCTGACATCTCTTTCGCACTGTCTGGACCACAGCAAAAACTTGCGAAGTGCTTATTAACGTTTCAATTCTCTGCAGAGAACTGCAGCTTGAGTTTTGTGGAACTTTGTGAGTGATGAAACTCATTTCTAAACCTTTAGAAAGAAAACCCAACTGTTCCCTGAACTGATTGGCAAAATACTGTCAATTTCAAATTCAGAGAGCTTGACTGGTGTAACCACTGGAGCACCATGCTGACAAAGCCATAATGACTAGCAAAACATTTACGGACAACAAAAGGATATTCTAATTTGACATTTACAGACATTTTCAACTGTCTTCATGAAGGCAGGTCCATACTCATGCTGTTTTTGCCTGTTTCACTCTTCTCAAAAACCTCTTGAAAATCTGATATTCCAATTTATGTCAACCTTTTGATATTTAAAGGAACAACACAGATGTAGCCCGAAGACACACAATATTATTAAATATGTCTCACATTAGAGTGCTGTTCTGTATTTTATAGTAAACCCGTCTTGTTTTCCAAGTCAACGTGGAAGAGCAGCTTCCCTGAGGAATAATTAATTACTTTCCCTTTCAACACAAACGCAGCGAGCCCAGGGGTGTCTGAATGACACAAGACGGGTTATTGTTTGTTAAAGGGTAATTGTAATTGTTTTCAAAGCTAATTAGAATTTATTGAAATCTGTATACTCGCTTCTGCCAGCCAGGCTACTGCAGTAAACAAGACTGCACCTTTCAATGTTTACTGTTTAAATAAGCTGAATAAATTAATCAATATCTACCTGAGTTAATAATTAAATCAAAAGGCTCTTTGGTGAAACAAATTTCAAGGGGGGGGGGGGGGGGGGAATCACTTGAATACCTGACCTTATTTTACCTTACAATGAAAAAGAAAAATATGTGCTATAACCACACACAAAAAAACAGCTACAATACAGTAACTGTATGCACATAGCATACTTTGTACTGTACAGTATATGCTTGTTTGGACAACACTTCTACAAAGCGTCCATTGAGCAAACATTTAGGTTTCTAAAGCTTAAAAGAAAAATATAAGATCAATATTTAGGCAATCAATAATTGCAGCATTCTGAGGCTTTAAAAATAAAGAGAAGAATGCATTAGAAGATTTGGTTTTCATCACTCCTGTTGCTGCAAGATGCTAAGTGCCTTTTGCTGATGCATGAACTGCACTAATTCCCATACAGTCAGCATCATGGACTGAGTGACTAACTGGCTGTTGCATTTAATGGCATTATTACAGGAGTTCCAATTGCCTGGAGCTGACAGATACTTTCCTTGCTTATATTCACGAAAAAGACTAAAACTCCACCAAGCAAAACAAAGCAATATGGGAATCTGGGTGATTTGCAAGACAAACAGCATTTGCTTCTCTCTTAAATCAGTTATTTTTCTTTTTATAGCCTGATCCCTGGAATCAAGCATAGCAAATTAATGCTGGGTCCTCTGTAACTGTTCGGCAGTTTGTGGTTTTTTTTTATAAATCACAGGGTGATTCTCACCCCCCTGATTCTGAATCTGAATAATAAAAACAAAATCAGGAACATTTGGCCACATCTGCAGCAACAAGAAAAGAAACAGTTTGACATTTGGACATGCTGTACCAAGTGTCATGACTACATAGCAAGAGGGTGAGTACAGATGAGCTACGTGGATATTAAGATGCATCTGACACATCACAAGTGCTGGAAATGTCATGCTGGGTTTAACTGACCTGTGGCAATATTGGTGGCAAACAAGTTTCCTTGTCCACTCCTTCGGTCATGAATAGAGCTGGTGCCTCATTTCACTGCTGATGGGGTCTAATCTCTTTTCTGGGGCTCAGGGGAACAAAGGTCACTTGCACTGGTCAGAACCTGAATAAAGAGGGGTGGGGCTGGAGGATCTATAAGGGGTCGACTAACCTTCTATACACCTCAAGAGGGATACTTTACACCTCAAGAGGGATACTGTATGTCTGAGGCTGGAGTACACTGGCTTACAAATGTGGGGAAAATTAGAGACCTGGAACAGGGGAACCACCTGAATTTGCAGCACAGGGAGTGGTGCATCTTGGGGAGACAGAGGTGTTTCGCAGTCCACACACACTACAGGACTAGAGGAGAGGCTGCAGCCTCTGTACTTTACCAGGACAGACCCAGGGAGAGCACACAGCTGCCACACACTCCAGCCAGACCTGGCAGGACACAGACCTGCTCAAGAGCTGGCCTGAATTTAGCTCCCAGTAAATCCACTTGGAGTACTATTATTTTTAAAAAGACAATGTCGGGTTTTCAAAGAATAATATGCACTAAAAGAGAAGGTTATCCCTAACCCCTGTGGTGCTTTACTGCTGTACCTAAACGGTGACGTTTCAATGTTGAGTGCTTGGCAATTGCTCGTCTTTTCCTAATGTTTGCATCAGCGGTGCATTTTCTGCTGCAGGTGTTTGTACAGTAGGTTGGACAGTCTCCTGACACTCACCATTTTTGTCTGCTCTTCGGAATATCTGAAACGAAAAGAAGACAAAAGGACACATCAAAATGGATGATAGAAGATTCTAGTAACAAGAGAGAGCCTAAAACTTAATTTAGAACGAGACGGGATTAGCCTACTCAGCCTCTGATCTCACCAATCAGTTAAACAGCATGAGAAAAATCACAGTCCGTGACTGATTAAAACACATCACACAACAGGATGTATTTCTGGTCACTTTGTTAAAGCTATTAAAGGGTTATTAAGAGTAGGAGTCTTTTATTATTTTCCCACAGCCTGCTAAAATCATACCTGAACGAAGTGAAGTGGAACTGGTGTGGTTTTCGGATTCTAGAACTAAACGCACTCATTTCTTGTGCTTCCGACGCCCAGTAGCCTGAGCCCTGAGAGATCAGCCTCTTCTCCTCATTCAGAAGCCCAGGAGAAGAACTCAGCACTGGGTTCTGACAACAAGCCCACATACCCCCACTCTGGAAGCTGGAGGTCTAGACCCAAGAAGACAGACCCAGAAAACCTCCACTACTGCACTTGGATAACCCTGATGCAAGATCCAGGTGAGCAGGATCTCAGTCCCTGACATTACAGGAATTGTGGGTGGTTTATTATGATTTTTTACACCACAAACTCATTGCCTGGAGGAGGGAGACAACTATTAGGCCTGAGAGCCCCAGAGGTTTCTTTCCTCCCTCTGGGGTTTTTTATGTTCCTCTCCTCTGTGTCCACGTGGTCACAGACCTGCTACTGTACAGCATTATTAAACTCTGTATAAGTCTTTAAAGTGTGCTGTGGCAAAACATTGTGAAGGGCTCTATAGCAAATAAAAATGGCAGCACTCAGTGAAAAATATTGAGCGCCTCTACATACCAGCATCTCATTCACAAACACCATTTAACAGAGAAAAGGGCTTAGAATTGACGTCCAGCAGGACAAACATGTACTTTGTGCGGACTCAAATGACTATTCCCAAAAACATTTTTTAAATAAATGTTCTCTGCTGAGTTTGAAGAAATAAAAAGATTGAGTTGCATGTAATCTCCTGTAGGAGGCTGAGAGGCTGAGAACTACCAAACTATAGACACATTTCACAGCAGCTTCACAGCTTGTAATGTTTTACCACTTAGGTTCTGGGTGATATTTCATATTTCACAAATTCCCACTTGGTCTTGCAGCTCTAACCTAAACCTTAACCTTAACAATCATTACGATACATTTCATGTCTTTTTCATTATTACTATTTGATCCCTAACTCACAGAGCGCTCTTAACTGACATTTGCTGTGTCTGATTTAACACAACAGAAACAAGACAAGAAGAGACTGCTGGGTAAACATGGGTCTGAAAGCTACAGGTACCAGGAAGGAGACAAAGCTTTTTATAAATCCACACTAAATCACACATGAATGAAGTCAAGTGGAGCTTGCGTGGGTGTTGGATGCTGAAACTCAATGCATTCATTTCTTGTGCGGTCGATGCATAATAACTTGAGCCCTGAAAGAACAGCCTCTTCAGTTCCTCATTCATAAACCCAGCAGAAGAATTGATTGCCACTTGTCACATGGAAAGAATAATGCAGAACATCTGACTAGCCTCTGTGGGGTTACTGTACTGTAAAATACCAAAGAAACCTGAAGCTGCATTTCACAACAGGGAACCACTGAAAACGTATGCAACAACTCCAAAACACAAGCTGCAGGTAGATGTGTCGAGCTTCAAACTTCTCATTGTGTTCAATTCTTCTTTCAGATAAGACAGATAGGCGTGGCCTTGCCTTCCCAAGTGACTCTGCAAAGTGAGACCAGCCAGCTAGAACATGAGAAATCTGCCTCTTGGGAAACCAGAACTTAGAATCAATAAAGCAATCAATTTTGCATAGCCCGCAAAAAGGATATATTTTTGTCTGTGTGTGCTAGTTAGAAAAGGGGTCCCCTTTTAGGACAATATCTCCTCCAATGCTGGGAACATTCAACAGTAGGTCAGTGGTGTCTTGGGAGGCCATAAATGACGCCTCGTCTTTCTTACTGAAATAAAACCAAGGCTTCACAGAAGAAAACTCAGGTTTGGCTTGCTGTTCCTTTCCTGTTGTTGGGACAGGGTATCAATCTCCACTAGCATGCCAAGCATTGTTATGAAGACACAGCAGTAACCCACTGTATCAGAATAAGCAGTTTACTTTGTTTTCAGTCTGTGAAGTTTTAATGCATGAATTGCACTGTTGTGGGCTGAAAGGTGGGAAAAGATTATTTTTTGGAAGTGCCAGATCTGCCCTTTTATCTTTTTTTATTTGGACAGCCTTGTGAGCCAGGCTCATACAGAATGCCAACATCTTATTCTAAGAGCACACAGGGCTGATCTGGGCTAATCTTAAGTGTTGGGAAGTTTTAACACATAGACAGGAGTTCATTTGTGTTCAGCCTTGGCCCCTGCATCTACTCAGATGGTCTCCTGCTGATGTCCACACAAATTTTTTTTACCACACGTTCACTGTTTGATAGACAGTGTACTGTGTGTGTTCCAAGTTTTATATAGCTGCGAAAGTAATTCAGATCAAGGGGAGCTGAGAAGTGTCTCACACTGAGCATCTGCAGCTGAAGAAACTCTGATTCATGACATCTTCAAAGGCACACATGCAAAACAGGACCAGGCCTGAGCTGTGTCACAGACACCATGCCTGTCTGTCCAGAAGCTTTGGAGTGCTTCGGTGTGCTGCAAGGTGGATCAAGCACATCAAAGAATAATCTTGCTCCTCCTATGGAATGAGCAAGCATGAAAGTCCCTGACGAGGGAGAATATTTTTAACTCTCCACATTAATAGTGTCTGTGGAGTAAAAAAAAAATCAAATTCTGTACTCAGCAGCAAAGACCATAGATACAGTACAGGTAAATACTGTACTGGCAAGGAGTGACTGTTTATGCAGGGGGAGGAGGGGTGCACTGTGGGATCATCTCCATCAATTCCACCGAGGTTGCATGATAATCAAATCAGCCATCTGCAGTCTCTGCCGCACGGCTGTCGACGTTCACCACTATAAATGATAGATGAAGAAAGATGCCCTCCCTCCACATCCCGTTCGATTCACTGAAGGGATGAGGGCAGGACTAGGGGCAAGCTGAATCTGGGGATCTGGGGTACAGTTCACCATCTTTTTCTAATACCTTTACCGTGTCTGTTGATCAGAATGATCAGGACTACACAAAGCGATCTTTTTAACTAAAGTGTCTGTTGGGCTGTTGGTAAACTTTCAAATCTGAATTAACGAGGTATTTTTTGCTACATTTGAAAGATCATGTCCCTACAGTTTGCCTTTGAATGCACTCCGCAAATCTGTTCTAAATCTGTACATGCATGGAAGACCACCAGTGACTGAAAGAATCACACTGTTTCCATTGCATAATACACTCAATTGATTTCTTCTTTATCAGGGGCTTTCTTTAAAGTATGGTGTCAATAACAGCTTGGAGGAAAAGCTTTAAAGAAAGCTTCCTGCCATATGATCGTGTGTGAGCTTTAAATGCTATTGCTCTAATCCTCACATTACTCTGCCTGTGCTCAAAGACTTGCCTTCCCGCCCCCATGGGGAAGGTGGTTCCTGCCTCTCTTGATTTTTCCTGGAAAACAATTTTACATTACAGAGATAAATGCTGAGTACGCATCCAGTTGCCATCAGGAGAATGGAACCACTATGGAACAGCACAAGACCATCACCCACAATCCCCAGCCCATTAATCTCCATCTCTAGGAATGCTGGGCTGAGTATCTCTGACAGATCACACTTAGCCAGCAAGGCTGGGAAAAACCCTCTTTCTAGGACCTGTTCTCTGAGCAATTTGCTGATACAATTCAGCTCAGGAAAGCAGATCCTTAGATCCTTCAGAGGCTCAAATTGTACTTTAGGAGCATTAAATATGGGGCAGCAGATTGTACAATTGTCACCACAGCCTGAAAGTTATTCCTTTGTTGGAGGCACTTGTTACTGATGAGGTTTAGGATTAACAGTAACTTACATTACAGAGTATCAGCTTTGTGCTGATAGATACTGTAAGTGTAGGAGAAGCCTGGCTCCTTCCTTGTTACAGAACCACTGCTACACTGTACTGTCATCTCTAATTTGGACCTACAGTATAAGATAAGAGATCAGATCACTTTATTGGCCACATACAATTTCTTGCATTAGGAATTCGACATTTCACAGACCCCAGCTTGCTCTCCATGAGGACAGACAGACAGAGAGACAGAGAGAAGCTGGGGGTCAGAGCGCAGGGTCAGCCATTGTACGGCACCCCTGGAGAAGCTGGGGTGAAGGGCCTTACCCAACAGAGTAGGATTCCTCTGCTGGCCGCAGGATTTGAACCAGCAACCTTCCAGCCACAGGCGCAGATCCTGAGCCACAGAGCCACTGCTTCACCCTTTTTAAGACATGCCTGCACAATCCTCTTTACAGGACTACCGGGAGCTCTAAGTCTCAGTCTGTAAATTGCTGCTCATTCTTTCAAACTCTCCACCAGACACTCTTCAATATTATTTCACCCCCACCTGTCTGAGGTGTTCCATCCCTCTGTATGCACACCTGAAGCAAAGTGCCCAGGTCCTCCAGACTCCAGCCCTCACAGGTGACAGCTGAGACAGTGAATGTGTGTGGATCTTTCTTAGCAGAGGAGAGGGGAGAGTTGCGGATGGTGTCCTCTCTCTTTTTGTTTTCTAACTGCTGGTGCTGTGGACAGGACATCTTCCGTCTGCCACTCTCGTGGGAGACTGTCCCATGAAGGACGGAAGAGCTTTATTCCTGCCGGTGGGCGAAGGAGAGGAGGGAAAGGGGCACATGGACGAAGCCATCCACGTCTGTGGGTCTCACCTGGCGAATCACTACCCTGCTGTGGGTGGCATCAGGTTGAATAGGTGGGACCGCAGGTGCTCGGACACTCGTGCGAGAACACACAACTGCCCATCCTCTCCCTTCACTAATGAGATACAGCCTGGCTTGTCTTCTCCAAGACATTATTGAGAGATTACATACAGTAAAAGCCGACCGAGAGAAGACTAATGGTGATTCTCCCGAGACAAATGTGGGCTCTGGACACCTTCTGTCTTCAAATGAAAAAAGATACAGTATGTGACACCTCCCTGTACTTTTAAAAAACGCGAAGAAATAATCAACGTTGCAGAAGTATCAACGCGTTTCTGTTTCATACCATCGATTTGCCAGTGCCTGTCTATCCGGAGATATGATCCATAATGTTTTTAAACACAATTGCGCGGCTATGCGAGCAGAGTATTCAAAAGAATGAAAGCAAAAAAAGTTGTTTTCGTTTTGTATCAGAATAAAATGCCCGTTTTTGGTGTAAGGCAATTGCTAACAAAAGATACAAAAAGCACTACAAAACATTAAGAAGGGGGCATTGAAAACAACAAAAACAAGGGAAAATAGGTTGAATTAATTTTCCGAGACGACATTAACCTTTTTAGCTCAAGTAAGAAGTGTTGACGATGTGAGCAGTGCTGTCTTGTGCAGGACGGCCTGGGCTCTGGACAGCGCTGCTGTTATCAAGCCTGGACGGGCGCGCTCAGCGCTGCTCCAGCTGCGGAGAGTTCAGGCTGATCTGTGAAAGTCGCCAAACTGTAGGAACCACAGCAATGTTGTCTGTCTCGGCTTGCTGGGTTCACCCGAGCTGTTAAATGCATTTCTGAACACAGAATCTGACAGTCACTGTACCTTTGCTGATCACACGGCACAGTTATCAGATTTGATCTCATTAGATTTCTACCTTTGTACAGCAATTGAATTGAGGGCACGAGGCCACGTTATCCTATATACTGTAGTGAATTTTAATACGACTCTTTCACGATTCATAATTGCCCGATCAACGCTAGGAGCTCCGCAATAGAATAGCCTTAGAATAGAAGAGAACAAAATATAGCCTTAATTATCTGAAGGGTTCAATTCTGGCGTCTCTTTTTGTCAGATTTCTGTACTTTTTAATTTCAGTTTGAAAACTTCATTGAAATTAAACGTTTAGAATTTCTAGTTTCACCGTGGTTTTTCATATTTAAAGTTTTGAAGATGCACTATTTGACATCTATACCGGTCTCTAGTGTCTTTTGAAACAGTTGTTTAAATCCCTTCCAAAGACAGGGCAAATGACGGAAAACTATTTTTTTATATCCCTTCTTTTCAGCGAAGATGCACTCTAATAGCTTAGGTTTGACATTCGCTTTTAATTTAATACAACAAGATCCCAGCTTTAATATTATGTATACCCCTGTACATGTTTGTATGTTTACGATACAATGTATAAACCTAGAATCTTAAGACAGCCAACTCATCAAACAGTCTACTGCCGGATTCCCGCAAAAGCCTATGTCCCATTTTCGGATCTGTCGGTGCGAACACGCAGAGGCTAGCAAGCGCTGCAAAATCAAAAGCAAATTTCGACCACACTGAGGGTTTTTGTTATCTTTTTTTCCCCCGTTTTATTTTCTAACGCCTCAGACGTGCGCGCCCGCGTTGTGCAAGGGAACGCAGTTCAAACACCCTATCCTACCCCCCCCGTTAGTCTCTCGGACGCTTCCTGCCAGCCAGCACCCCGCTCCGCTACAGTGAGATACCTACATCCAGGATGACGGAGATGCCCTTCCGAGGCTCCGGGTTGAAGAACTGCTCCCGGGCAGCCCCCGGCTCCTCCTTGAGGAATTCTCGGGGAGAGATGTTCTTGTTGTCGCTCATCTTCGTCACTATCCAGCGGACTAGCCCGTCTATTCCACCGAGCTGGGCTCCGCTGCTGCCTGACTGTGCAGCCGTTGCTGTCTCGCTGTTCTGAGCCCCGAGTTTGGGTTGTTCTTTGTGGAGCAGTTTGTGGACGCCGTCCCTGCAGTATCGGGCTGCCTGCTCACACATCCTTTCGCCAGAGAGCATTCATGCTGAGAGCTATGGGGTATTCCCCTCCCACCCCGCTTACATCACCCCGCACACACCCCAAAAACACACCTCTCTCATTTTACATCATTACGACAGGGGGGTAAAAGCTTTTTGACTTGCGATGGCGAGCATTTCCAGCTCATACAACATGAAACGGCCATACAAGCCCCGCAACTTCTGAGAAGTTTCGTTGGCGTTAGTATCGCTGGACGCAATCTTTCTAGGCAGTTCTGAAAGCAATAAAAGGTGAGCCTAAGTAGAAACGACACCTTACTGCTTCTGAATTTTTGTTTGGTTTTTAAATTCACGGTTTATTTTGTTTTGCTTAGTTATAGCAATAACAACAATCTGTACCTTTCAATTGCGTTTCATGTCTGAGGGTAGTTTTTTTTTCTTTCTTTTCCGTCGTCTTTACTTGTCGAGTATCAGCGCAGGGGTGTTGTGTAGCTCTACAACAGCAGACTGCGTAAACTCCCCAACTAGGACACTGCAACGCTGAGGATAAAAGCGTAGACCGTGTGTTTTGTTAAGGTTTGTGGCTTAGATAGGTCAGAACAGCTGAACCTTTTCTACCGAAGAAAATCATAATGTTTTACATTTCCAAAAGCAACTGAACAAATCCACGCATTTATTTGTCAGGTGTGGCGTGGCTATCAGGACCAGATGACACTAATCTGCGTTCATAGAGCGTTTTCTCCGAATTCAGTGCTTCGGTTCCTTCATTTGAAAAGCTGTCGACTTTAAAGGTGTAACCCGTGAATTTAATAAAGAATAACATTTGCGCGCATAGCAGCTGTATATTCTATCATACGTACTGCTATCTAATGCTTTTCAGCTGTCATTTATAGGTTATTCCTTTTAAGTAAGTGATTACATTTGCAGCAACCCTTTCATGAGTACAGCCCCTTATCTGGAAATTCAGACGCTTTCTGTGTTAGACAGGGGTAGCCAGTTAGACTGTACTGCAAAGACAATGTCAATGTGACGATATCCATGCAAAGGATCAGTGCTTACAGTGGCACTTTCATGAGATACACCACTAAGCCTTCTTCTATCACTGCTTGTACGCTCTTACTCGCTTTTACACAGGGGTATGTGTCACTTATAGCACAACGATGTCGGGGTTTTTAAATAGCCCTTCCTGTACAGTAAATGTAAAATACCACATTACAGTGTTGACACACAGTGTGTGTCCTGTGATTTGTTTCCCCCTTTGTTTTGTATTATAGCTGTAGTGACTTGTGAAGATAGAAGACACATCCCTCTCCAAGAATGTAAGTATCGATAGAGGCAAGGGATGCAGACACCTGTGCCGTTCCCTTTCAAGTCCAGCACTCTCTGAAGAGGACTGCTTCGCCCGCCCAGGGTGGCATTTAAGTTAAAAGGCGCCACGACTCTGCCCTTTCATGCCGTTAATTAACGGACTCCCACCGAGCCCTAATGGCAACTTGAAGCAGAAAGACATAGCTGGCCATTCAGTGAGCTTTCTTCCCAGCTCGGATCGCGTTAGCAGGCGTTGCTTCGACGCTCCGCTCCTGTTGATTCATAAAAAAAAGAAACCAATGGGAAATAAATAAAGGATGCTACACTGACATGGATGTCCCAAGCAATTAGATCCAGGTTTGCTTAGTCAGTGCAGGCAGAGCACGTAAGATAAAACCAACCTAGACCTCCTGCACTCGCTTGGGAACTAAGAGACATTAGCTGAGGGTGTTATATCGTGCATATACTGTAACAAAAGACATTAAACCAGCTAACAGAAGTAATCATACGAGAACAAAAGGCACACAATAATATCGACTTAAAAGTAATGGGCAAAATTCTTCACATGTCAACTGATACAACTGCCCATTATAATATACTGCCGTCAAGCTGAAGGGGGTTGATTGAAATAAAGGCAGAAGAAAGCTTACCCCCTTGATGAGAGCAGCCATTACTGATTTCATCATGCCGGACGCAGACCAAAGCCCTCAAATCGCAGTGAAAACTGAGATTATATATACTGTACTTGTGGAAAGGCTCCAGGAATTGGCTGGCAATCAGGCCAAGAGTGGGTGTCAGTGTTATTAGAGGAGCTGTGCATTTCTTTCTCCCAGGGGGGCTGAGGCCCAATCACAGCGGTGGGGCCCGTTGGGTTTTATGAGCCCAGGGTCTGTGAGGTGTTTTTTAACTCGGGTTCGTCAAACCCACGCTGCCCTGCCAGCCCATGGTGAAGACGTTGCCTGCTCTTGTTACTTCTCAGGCTGGAAAGCCCAGAGGGTAACTGTTATCCAATCAGAGTGCTCCGTCCGGGTGCCGGGCAGAAGGTACAGTGCGTCGCCCACAGGCCCTAGCAGCCGTGATCAAAGCACCCAGAGAGCATCGTGAACTCGCCGAACCAATCGCTTTGTCTGAGAGACAAGCTTGAAACTGACCTTCAGCTTGTGCCTGTTTACTGATCCAGCATCAAGCGAAAACTACTCGCCTGCATCTCAGCAGGGAGGTCTTCTCTTCTGCGTCCCTGTTCCATGATTTTGTTCTTCGTACCGTTGCCAGGCAGTGTCTAATGAGGCCCACCCCAGCTGTAACACAGAAAGCACAATTACAAAGAGCAGAAAATAAAGGAAGCACACCGTGTGTTTCTGTTGGCAAATTCTGCTTCAGAGTTGATAAAAGCATATTGTAGATATCTATGAAGAAAAGCAAAACCCAGAAAAATGATTACTCTTTGGAATCACTAATACGAGAAGGTTAAAGGGAAAACAGGACAAATGACAGAGACAATTGTTGAAAAACAATTGCTGCTGCAAATTACAATTGCAATTACAGTGAAATGATTCAAGACTGAATTGCCTGGAGACAAATCATCAGCTGGCACTTTGGAAGCAAAAGAACAGTGTGATTCTAAAATATCCAAAATGGAATTTATTCACTGAGATATTAATGACCAACATGCTAATCAGACAGCACACTAATTACTGTACGTTCCCGGGAAATTCATTATTCACGCTGAAAAAAGCTGCAATCGCAATGATAAAGGCATACTGTACACCTCATCACTTCAGCCATCAGCGGACCATTGAAACTGAAGTGATGCTTCATCTCCGCAGAAAAACTGCTAACCTGTCTGACTCTCAGCTCTCATCTCACTCTGGCAACTTTAACAGATACAGCCCAATGGCACTCTTTCCACTAATTGCTTTTCGCACATGCCAGATTCACAGTTTGCTTTGTTACTTTCACCTCGGAATGGCTCAGAGCGAGCGGTCCCCTTTCTGGGTGCTGTTTGCACCGTTTGCCGTGAGCAACGTCTCCCTTCACAGTGGCCGGTGTTGATCTGCCCCGGTAAAGGGCAGAGCACAGGGGTGACTGCCCTAGACCTGTCAGGGCAGCTGTGCACTGCAGCTGGATGTGAAGATGAGTGGGTGGCTGAGGAGGACAAAAACAGTTGCCCGTGAAAGAAAATGTCAATGAGACATCACCATCTATCACCGTTACTGTCCACCGGGGGCAAGAGGAGCCCGCTGTGGAGGAACGAGACACAAGACACATGAGAGTGTGGGGCAGTGAGTGAGACAGGGCTCCCACAACCTCTCCAATACATTTCAAGAGGAATAATAACGCCTGAGAATCGGGCGCTTTGTGAATGTTAGGAGTATTTCAAGTGGGATAGTTTGGGGTGAACCTGCTTGGATGAGGGGCAGCCATCTGGCCAGAGGACGAGGAGGCTGGGATCCCCATCCAGAGTGAGGAGTGACCAAGGGGCAGCTGCAGAGGTGGAGATGGGGTGGAGGAGCTATGCAGCAGACAAAATGGAAAAAACAGGCGTTTTTCACTCATTTTTCATTGTCCTTCCTGAACTTCATTTCAGATCTACCCTCTACACAGCGGGTACTATATCTAGAACAAACAGGCTTTCAAAATGTCACTTTCTGGATTCTATCTAAATCTTCGCATAAACACTGGTGTGAAATATTCATTAAGATATTGTCCATTTCCTTTTCATTAACAGAAATTATCCCATTAGTAAATCTAAGATACTTCATCATTTGCTGTACTTTTGCTGTTGCAATACTGATTTTATATTTTTGCCTCTATTGCAATATTATTTTCTGTCTCTCTTGCATTTCTAATATCCTGGTGTTTCTTATGCGTGCCTTTGCTTGTACTCAATTTCTTTCTAAATTGGAAATTGTACTCAATTCATTCTATAAAGTGCTTTCTTTCTTCTTTTACATATTATTAATTTACTTAATTTCCAGGCACTGGTTTTCCTTCTTTAGGTCCTAAATCAGAGTGTTATGCAATTCAAGCAGAATATCTTTAAAATCGTGCTGTCAGTTCTCTACTGATTCCATACCTGGCCAGTTGCATTTTAGTTCTATTAAATTATCTCTTGCATTCAGTCTAAACTACAGTTTCAAAGCACACTTCAAAACACAGCTTAGTACGACCAAAGTTCCCTAAAGGCTCTCTGACCTCTGTTGTCCTCACTCAATTTTGATTTTTCTAAAATGACTAAATCAAGGGAAACAGGACTAAATCCCTCTTTGCAGGTGCTTTGAAAAACATCTCTGTATTTACTTATCTCCCATTTCAGTTTCGGAGGCCGACATCCCTAGCACTTTTTCCAGTCTATGTGAGGGAAATTTCTCCCATGACCACTTCTTCACTGAAAAACACATTCCCGATTTCATTTGATTAGACTGTATTATAATCAATATCTCAATTTGATGGCCAATAGCACAGACCCAACACTATGCTCTTCGAATGTTTTTTTATACTGTAGGTCTGACCCATTATAGATCGCGAGACTCTTGATTCATTGAGGTCATATTCCTGTGCATGAATGCTCTTCATAATGTTAAGTACTTCACCTCTTCTGTTATTTGCGTTCTCTCTCCAATGCTTTATATTGACTTATCCTGTTTTATTCTTCATAACTCTTTGTTAGCCATCTTTCGTGACTCCAGTTCCATTATTATTAAATGCTAGCACATGAGCTTCTGTTTTCCTCAGAGGTGGAGCCTTTAGCAGTGAAACAGCAACAGAGAGTAGACAGTACCCTGTATTTGTCTTCCTCAGTAGCAAAACAAAAAAAAATGATCCAAAGAACTAAGCACAAGAGCTGTTGAAGTATTATTCCTAAAACTGCTCTTGTTACTAGATGATTTTGCAGCCTGCAAGGGCTTGAATGTGATACAGTCAACACAGTGCGTTTAATTCATTCTATAAGTAGCAGTGTACGCTTCTCAAAAATGTGTCTATATAGGTTAGTATGTCACAGCACTGAGTGCATGAGAATGAGGTCTGCTGTCTTTTAATGAATTATACTGCCTTAATGCAGAACAACACAGAATGATTTACTCCTATTCTGAAGTAGAACTGTGTTTCCTTGCACTTTATAAAAATGTCTTGACCTCATTTGGCACTGCATATTGATTTCAAAATAGATATCAAACAGTTAAGAATCTTCCAATATATCACTCCTGTTTCAGAAAACAGAGAAGAAAGAGCATGAGCCTTTTCCTCTGCTGCCTTTTAACTATTGGGATTGCTGAAGGTGTTACTGCTATTAGTAATCCTAGACAGGCAGGTTTATACAAGGATAGTATGCTGGCACAGTGGCATGTTTTAGTGCCTTGTAGCGCTGGATTTCCAACCTCAGGTCTGGATCTGGGGTGCTGTCTGTGTAAAGTTTGAATGGGTTTCCTCTGGATTCCTCCCACGGTCCAAAAACACGCTGGTAGTTGAATTGGTTTCTGTGAAAACTGGCCCTGGTGCAAGTGTATACGGTATGTGTGTCTGTGTGTTTCTGCCCTGCGATCGTCTGGTGTCCCGTCCAGAGTGAACCCTGCCTTGCGCCCCCTGTGTGTTGGGATAGACTCCAGCTTCACTGCAAACCTGCACTGGATGAAGTGGAAATGGAAGAAAATGGAGGGATGGATGTTAATGCAAAGCAACTAACATACAGTAAGTAAATTATTGGAGACTCCAAATGCTGTCTGCAAACGAATGTTTCTGTTATTAGTAGATTGCTCAGAATGTGATGGGAATATTGTGATTCATGCAGTCTAGGGAACAAAAAAGGATGGGGATGGAGGATCACACTCCATGAAGCAGAAACACTGTCAGAACCTGATGAAAGATGCTCTGACGAAGCTTGTCTTGCAGCACAGAGAAACCTGTTCATTTTTGCAGTGATTTTCTGTGGTGTCAAAAACACAGATTTAGGAGAGACTTAACAAAGACTTTGGTGTCAGCTTGTTATACAGTGAAGCATTTCCATGAAAATGCAAAATGTTTCTGTTTTATCATCTGTACATTTGTCAAAAATGGAACAAATAGCAACAAAACATGTCTGCACCACCTCCCCACTCCCGCTTTCAAGAACAATCCCAAAAGGAAACTCCAAGCCATATGGAGCAAACATATATTTACCACATCACACCCTCACAGCCGACATGCTGTGTCTCTTTTCTTCTCTTTTCAGCAGGGAATAAACCTTTACTCGTTCCTATATACAGTACAGTGCAGTATTTAACACTTGGGAGATTTTTTCTCCTTGCAGATGAAGTCTTCACCTCCTTCGACCTGCTGTGCACTATTCACTGTGGGAACCTACATATTCTGAGCCTAATGCCACATTCAACTCAAAATCTGATATCTGCCCGCGACTCCTGAGCTGCTCTGCAGTTTAAGCTGTAAAAATTCAGTTAAACCTGGTCCTTATCGGGGAATCCAATTTTCTATTCAGAAGAGGCTGCAAATATCACTGCTTTTTACAGCTGTATTAATCCCTCCAGGTCTCTACCCAATCCACAGCTTCCTGATAGAGACAAAAGCACTATGTGGCCTAGCAGAAAGTTTCCTTTGAAGGGAACTTGCAAGGTTCATTAAGGACTGTAACAGCTGCAGAATTTATCATTTTAAATGATGCCTAAAATAAGCCTTTAGCAAAATTACTTGATGATTCCCAGTGGAGGTTCTAAATGAATTCTCCATCATGACATAAAGACATTACGACTTTCTTTTGATTAAAAAATTAAGAAAGTGATATTGTGTTTTTGCATGGAATGTTTCTCTCTGTTGTCCCTCTAAATTGTTCTGGGACTATCAGGCAAACGTTTAACAAATAAATTACAAACACAAACAAGAATCCGAAATATCTGCCACCATCTGTAGCAATATGAAAAGGACAAATTCTTTATATTATGGGTCAGGGCTAAGGTGAGTATTTTAAATTGGAAAAAAAAAGAGATTAAATAAACTTTTCTTAATTTTGTCAGTCCTGTACTACTGAGGAATTATGAACATTTTAACACATCACTTCCACCTTGGCTTTTTTGTGCATTAAGAAATAAGCAGGATCTCTGTTGTTTCTGATGAACATGGGTTTTCGAATGATAAAAACCATCATCCACACAGGAAATATCCTTTAGAACGAAAGATACACTAAATGAGTTATATCTGCATCAGGAGTGGTGGTTTTAAAATGTAAAAGGAGGTATGTGTTCTTCCTGTGAAAACACCCTGATTTATCCAGGCTTGAAACATCATGTAAATATTTGACGGCATTTAAAAATGCAGCCCATGAGGAGAAAGGTTCCAATTATCTTTTTCCCTGTGGCTCCAGGATGAAAACAGGAGGCCCTATTAAAACTGCTCCCAGTTGCCTACTAAATCTCTCATTAAAATAAATTCCACGCTTCAAATTAAAACTGCTTATCAATACAGTTCAAAACCTTGCTCATTGCTTCCTGAATAAGAACATTATTGCCTTTAGTGACTGAGAGCAATTGAGTTGAATAAAGCAGTCATTCCTTAAAAGAAAATCCGTTCTCCAAGTACCTGAAACAGCATGACTCACAGGTGCTAAACTGAACTTGTGCTCAAATCTCAAAACAGACAAAACTGTATTTTTTTAAGTCGCGTTCTCTTTTCTGATCGCAAATCCAGCCTTTCTAGCTGTAAAAGTTGGCTGATGAGAAAAATAACTTTTTTTAATTACAGCCAGTTAAAACAGCTCCCTGCAGCCTTTTCCTCTGTGTTCTTGGTTTTTCCCTTCAGATCAGGATATTTGGAACTAAATCACAGCATGTGCTAAAGAAACAGTTCTGTACAGTTTTGCTATTATACCCCCATCCAAAAGGCAGTTTTAAAGCAGCAGGAATTGCCTGAGTTGCAATGAGGCAGCATGTGTGTGTGAAACAACTCGTTAGAAAAAAATATTTTGCATACTTTAATGTGGTAATTAATATGGTGGAACAGCTTGCTTGTAAATGCAACTTCACAACGTGTACACCTTTGCTTGACAAGAGTGCAGTGTGATGCTAATAAGGAGGATGTCTGACTTCCTGATTTAATGATCCCTCTCTAAATCATCTCTTCCGAACCCAAGTGAAGAGAATCTGCCCGCACTGCCTTGATGACCTTTGTACATCCCTGCAGGTGCCTTTTTCACCCCACCAGTGAAGGCTTGCTCGTGACTCCTGTTCTCAGGACACTGAGTTCTGGCTGCTGTGGTGGCCACACTGGGTGCATCTTGCCATCTCGTTTTGCCTTGTACTTCCACTTTCTGCTGACCTTACTCTTCATTTCGTACAGTACATAATTATTAGTGTAAATTTCAGATATGCATTGTACAAGAAAAGTACACTTCATATATGTACTGTAAAGTAGCCGTGGACAAGGGGCTTCTGCTTAGCCCATAATGATAATGATGTCCCTTCTGTCCTATATACACATCCAGCTACATTTCTCGCCCCCGACCTCAGATGATCGTCAGCTGTCTTTATTCCTATCTGTTACAGTCACTGCATTTCATCAAGGCACCATGTTTCAGGCGTGGGATTGCAGTAGAGTAACAGTGGCCCCAGGTGGACAGATAAGAGCCGTCAGCCCTTCCACTCTGCTCTGACCAGCAGGTGTCTCCATCGTCAATGCGCAAACCAGACAGATGCACGTAATAGACATGTTCTATCCTTTTATTCTGAGACATGTGCAGTAGTTGTGAAGATGGCTTTTTTAATAAATATTTTAAGATCTTAGATAAATGTGCTGAAGGTAATATTTAAACGAAAAAAATGGTTGCTTTGCATTTTCAAGGCTAATGTAGATAAAAGGGATCAAAGTATTGTAAGCTTTGTAAAAATATCTGTCAGCACAACAAATACAGATTAACAATCATGGATTCACAGAATATTAGGAAAAAAACAATTATAGTGCAGCATTTAATTTTTCAGTGAATATTTAAAGATAATATATAAATCCTTTAATAATTTATAAGAATTTGAACTTTTCACCTTCATAGCTTATAACTAGTAAGGCACTAATAGGGGGGTTCGTAGCCTACAACAGACATAGTCACTGAACAGGAGAGCCCTGCTAATTTGAGAAAAATGGAATACAATGACTAAGTAATGAGAATGATGGGGGAATGAACAGAAGTGTAAAAAATAAAAAAGGCTGAGAAACAAACACCAACAGAAACGTTCCTGGCACCAAGATGAAGGCACAGATCAGGCCTTGTCTTTTGGGCCTGGCTCGGGAGTGTGGCCCTTGAGGTAGTAGACCCAGGAGATGATCTGGCCGTGCCCCTCCGCGCGGGGGCAGGAGATGGTCAGTTTGCCATTCACAGGGGCCCGGGGGCCGGCCGGACCGCCCTCGAAGGAGACCAGGATGTTGTGCGTCTTCTTGGGGCGGATGGTCTCCATGCCCTTGACCGTGAAGGCAGGGTTGTCCACCTGGAAGGAGAAGGCGGTGGTCTGCTGGAACACGTTCTTGAAGGGGATGGACACGTTGGAGCCGGCTCGGATCGTGAAGGGGCCCTGGGCTTTGGGGAGGGTGCAGGTCCCGAACAGCGGGAAGAAGTACTCGCCACCGAAGGCGGAGGACAGGGTGAGCAGCCCGCGGGTCTCGCCCAGCTGGGAGGGCTCGAAGTAGACCTCCACGCTGACCTCCATGCCCCCCTGGAACCCTGGGGCGGCGTTGACGTTCTTCTCCACCGTGAAGTCAGGACTGTCGATCTGGGAGAGCAGAGCACCACATCACTCCTTTCCCCCCTTTCTTTCTAAATTCTCTAGGCCTCCTTCAGAGGGAAAACTGTATTTTAAACCAGATGTTATTTATCCAGCACTTGTAGGTTTTGAAGATATGAAACCCTTATCATTAATATCTGTTGCTCTCATTTTGACTCAGTGACTGCAACATTGAATAAAACAATAAAATAGATCTTTTTGTGCCACGTGCATCGTAAAAAAGGATTGAGACCGAAGTGCAAAAACGTGGCAACAGAGAACTAACACAATGAAAATGGCGCACGAGACAGTGATTACCTTGCAGCTATATTCAGCTTTCACGCGGGAATAGTTGATGAATTTGGCGGAGAGGTACTGCCCGTTGCCCAGCGTGGCACGGAAGAACAGAGCCTTCTCCTTCCCCGCGGGCAGCGCCTTCAGGAGCAGCTCATAGTGGAAATTGCCTAGCTCCCCGTTCAGCAGGGTGAGGCGGCTTGTAGACTCCCCCACGCGCAGGGGCTGGTACTCGAACGTGAGGGTGCCCTGGGACAGGGGAGAAGAAAGAAATTATGGCTTATGTTGAGACTAGATGTGTATTTCTGCTTCAGTAGTCACTCACAGGCAGTGGAGACAAAAGCCTGCTTTTGAACTCTTCTGATATTCTTTGTGATTGACAACCTGCAGAACCAACGCTAAAGTCAGTGTAAAATTCTGCTGTGGCCTTTCGATAGGGCACAATAAATCACTCCTCAAGTCGAATTGCATGTACCTTGATTACTGAAAAATACTGGCTATCTGAGCATACTCCTGTAGCTGAAGTTAATAAACACAGGAAACCCACCTCCGACTGGGCAGGCACAGTGAGCTGGGATGGCACGCTGATTTCTGTTGATTTGCACTCGGTGGTGAATGAGAGTGGCGTGGGGAGAGGATTCTCCACTGTCACTGTGGCCGAATGGCTCTGGCGCACGGGCGTCACCATCTCGATGGTCTTCATGATGCCGGGGGCCGTGGCCTTGAAGTTGACGTAATAGAACAGATACTCCTGGGTGATCTCGTTGCGGAAAGTAACCTGGATTTTACAGGGACAGATAACACAGATAAAAAAGGATTAAATCTGTTTTATTTTTCAGAAGCTCCATCTGTATTAAATGTACCAGTATCTGGATATGTTATGTCCTTGTACATGGATCCCCAGAGACCCCCACTGACCCCCTGTACCCACATTGACCCCCACTGACCCCATGGATCCTCAGTTACCCCCACTGACCCCCCTGTACCCACACTGACCCCTACTGACCCCATGGATCCCCAGTGACCCTATGGATCTTGGAGGTGTGTTTTTACAGCAGTGTGAAAGTGATAGAGACACAGAGACATAGCGCATCACACACACACACACGTGTGAATCTGTGAAGATGGTAGCGAAGGCACTGCAGCTACAGTGAGGCTAATGAATACGATGGCATACTGATTGTGTAGTGAAGCCCCAAACCCACCTTGCCATTAAACACTCCTTCTTTGTAGGAAAAGAAAGTGAGCTTGTAGTCCCTTTTAGCCAGTGCTGGAACATCAATGAAGTCAAGACCTTTCAAGGTGGTGGTGATGTCGGTCTTATCCGGCTTGAGAGTTTCCACTATAGCCCGAAACCTGCAGAGAGGCACACACCTCATTACAATCCCTTTAAGCCATCTTTGATAAAGGCATCAATCAAATACACAAATAAATGAAGAAGATAAGCAATGACATCTTGAACTAGGAAGAAGATGTCAAGCAGGTGTCACCTACTGAGCTAAAATAAATATGAAATAATTGTACTACCACAGTCACCATTGCTCAAGTAGGGAGCTGCCTCAGCATGCATAGGTTGCAAAGGAACAAGTAAAGGTTTATTCTATTCTGAAAAGAGAAGAAAAGGAACAACATTTTGGCTGTGGGGCCTTCTTCAGGTGTGAGAAGGCGGAAGAAGGCTCCACAGCTGAAACTTTGTGTTTCTTTTCTTCTCTTTTCAGGGTGGAACAAACCTTTAGTTGTCACCGTTGCTCTGTCTTTTTGTAATTGCTTGTTTAAACTCCAAGTGGCTTTCTGATATACAGTATAAGCCTGTTTTAATTAATAGGATTTGTAAAGACGAAATTCTAAGGCTTTTCCCAAAAAGACTTTGGCTCTGCATCAGTCAGGCAGCTGTAGTGCATCAGAGTAACCCCCTGCGCCGCCCCTCTCTGTACTGCACCTCTGGGGCTTGGGCAGCCAGTTGGCGACAGGCAGCAGCTCTGTGTAGGAGGTCTTGGCCGGAACGTCTCGGCTGATGGTGCCTGCAGCCTTCGGGGGCTCGGAGGTTCCCTGCAGGGCATACAGCATGCCCGTGCCATCGGGATACGAGAAGAATACTGAGCCCTGGTGGGGGGGGGGCAGACACATATCCAGTCAATGTGCACAGTCAGGCTCTTCTGATTCATGTACTGTACTATCTAGGACTAGAACAGCAGCCCCAGAGGCACATTTCACACACCATTTGTACCTGCCAACATCAGATCCAGCTGCTGTGTTTGTACAGCACCAGCACTCACTTTCACATGTGCATTGTCAGCAAGGATGCAACAGGGCTGACTGTCACACTGCAGAGTTGTTTTTCATTGTATATTCCTGCAGATACTCATATGGACCCATCCACCTATTTTCAATCACCCAATGTCCTTGCAGAGAGCCGAAGCCTGATCCAGCCAGCATAGGGCGAAACGTAAGACTGCACCCTGCTTGAGATGCCAGCCCCTTACTGAGTACAAGCACGTGCATATGGAGACCCCAGCTAACCTTGACAGCACATGGCCACATGGCTACAGGGAGAATGTACACACTCCTCTCAGAAGGTCCTCCAGGACATGATCAAACCCAGGACCCACTGTGAAGCAGCAGCACCACATTTCACTCCATTCTGCCTCCTCCTTTTGAAAGGCAAATCTGAACATTCATTTTCCTGCAGTTTCCCCATTATCTTCCAGTTCTTATACTATGCATTTGCTGAGTTTTCCCATGCTTTCAGCTGCTTGCACCATGTTTAAATACTTCATTTTTGAGATTGGCCAGAATTGCTTTACACTGTACTACCCTTTAATGTGCTTTTACTATGGTCTACCAGAGTAAAACTACAATCTCTGAAAGGCAGACAGTAAAAAATACTCTGTTTACATCAGCTCTGCATTGCAACGAAGGGAGCAGATCCCCAGAAGCGCAGCAGCCTGTACCTGGTGCTTCCTGCCATCAGCGGTCATGACCAGGGGCCTGTAGGTGACCTCATAGGCCTTGTTCTGCTGGTGGGGCTCTATGACGAAGCTGGGAGGCCCGCTCCAGTGCTCCCCCTCGATCACGGGCTTCAGGCTCAAGCGCTGGTTGGTGCGGTTCCACAGCACAATGGACTGGGTCTGCTGAGTGCGCACCTGGCACACGAAACCCACCACCTGCAGAGGGAGGAGCGCAGGGCTGCCCTTCAGTACAAACCCATGTCTACAAACAGCTGATCTTTTCATTGAATCTGACGGCCACAGAATAATAAAACACGTCAAGGCAAATCAAGCAATGGAAGCTGTTTTCCACAGTCTAAGTTCTCCGCTTGGACCTGCGCCTGTGGCTAGAAGGTTGCCGGTTCATATCCCGGGGCCAAAGAGGAATCCTACTCCATTGGGGCCCTGGGAAAGGCCCTTAACACCAACTGCTCCAGGGGTGCCTTATAAATGGCTGACCCTGTGCTCTGACCCCAAGCTTCTCTCTTCCTGTCTGTGTGTCTGTGTGTCTCATGGAGAGCAAGTTGGGGTATGCGAAAAGACAAGAAATTGTATATGGCCAATAAAGTGATCTTATCTTATCTTGGACAGACAGAGATTCTAGTCATTCTGAGCAAATCACAGAGGTTAAATATATACGGTATATATATACGCATTATCACTACACCCGGAGCTATGGCTGCTACTGACAATGAAAATGTTAACAATGACAAGTGCAATTAAAATGATGACAGCAATAAAATTACAACAGCAGTGATAACAAGCTTGTTTGAGTCAATGAAATGCAAGATCAATATTAAATTAAAAATAAATTGAATTTGCCTGATGCATTGCTTCTAGGCATAACTTCTGAATTGTATAAAAAACATTAAATTTAACAAATGAGTAGACATGCATGTCTTCACTAATACCCAACAGTGAAATTGTAATAGTAGCTTGTATCTTCATGCCCTTTAAAGCCGCGTCTGGCTGAGAACTGTTGTGCCGGAGCCCGTGTATAATACCTCCTTGGTGACCGGGGCTGAAGCACAGGATCCTGTCAGAGTCAGCCGGAGTGGCTGCCCACCCTCGATGGCACAGGGCAAGTCATCGTAGCGCATGTCCTGGCTCTGCTCCTGGGGAGCAAAGGTGACTTCAAAGGACACCTCCATCCCAGGGGAGATGTAGCCTTCCACGGGGTTGATGGAAAAATGAGGGGCAAACCTCTTCAAATCCCATTTAAAGCTAAATGACAGTGCAGAAGAACACATATGTTGATGAGACTTGTGAAAAAATCCTCTTGTGTAATAAAAACCTACCCCCTGGAAACCTTATAACTTGCAAAAGAACAAAGGTTATTTTATAAAGTAGAGATACTTGCACATACATGCATATTTGTGCCATTTCGCGATAAAAGGAAGCGTCCACAGCCAACAGGAAGTGTCTACCTGGCTCCAATGTCGCCTGTGTTCTGCATCAGAATTCTTCGAGTAGCCTGGCAGCGCAGGAGCACAGTGCCGAAGGGAAGGTAGTCCTGGTCTAGGCTGATCTTCATACCCTGGCAGCACCCACGCAGCACGAACAGCGAGCGGGACGTCCCTCCACACTCCAGCATGACCTCCTCCGCAAAGGAGGGCACACGGTGTTTTGGGGAAAACACTACTTCTACTGAACACTGCCCCCCATTGGCTTTCAGAGTTATGTCTCCTGAAGGTCTGACACTGAGCACCTGCATGAGGGCACACGAAATTTAAAAAATCCCTTCTGTTTATTCCTTACTGTACAGTACCAGAAGAAATACGGACATTAATAACCAGAGGAAGAGCACTGTCTGCAGATTGAAACAATGTGCTTAAACGTAAGACCTAAGGCAACAGGGGCATAGTTAAACATTAGTTCAGGTGGGGAGCTGCGTCAGCATGCGTAGGCTGCAAAGGAACAAGTAATAGGTTTATTCCATGCTGAAAAAAAGAAGAAAGAAAAGACAACGTTTCGGCCATGGAGCCTTCTTCAGAAGAATTCTGAATGTTTTTGAAATATTTCATATGTACTGCAAATGTGTTTGATGAAAATCATTTAAATAATAAGTGATTTTCATTCTGAGTCCTTGAAACCTGTACAAGGTCAAATGAATGCAGAAAATGATACCTTTGGATCCAGCAATGCTTGCAGGGTGGGATTCATCACCACGGAACAGGTCAGGGGGGCATGGCTCTTATTGACCACTGGAATCACTCTCTTTGCCTTTTGGCCAACCTGAAGAGCCCCAAGGCTCACCACCTTGTGTTTGGGATTTTCCACTTCAACCTAGGGTGGAAAGATGGAGAACTGCCTGAACATTTTTTTATTTTTGTTCGAAAGAACTGTTGCAAAAAGTAATTTACTTTGAGATATGGTAAACAGCATGTACTGTACAGTCCAGTGGTACTAATTCCTTGAAATTAGCCTTAGCACTTACAGTCCAATTCAAAGTTAAACTCAATAGTTTAGTCTTATGGCTGGCTTGCTTTGTCATGCTCATCTCCAGGAACGTGCAGCAAGATGAGCTAGTGTTTACACAGTATCCAGCCGCCTGTCATTCTGTAATTAATTTGACAGGAGTTTTGTACCATCTGGAGGCAATTATCCACCACACCTGCCTCAGGTGGTTCAATCTACAGTTTATACAGTAAGCAATGAACTGGCGGTGCTCAGGAACTCTGTCATAGAGTTTGCTATGTCTCAAGCTTTGCTGCGAGTTCCAAAGTTCTCTCTGTGATTTTTTCCTGGATTCTGGATAATATATTTCCCTAACTTTACTCTCTGGATTCTCTGCTGGTGTCTTGTATTGAACTTTGCTTGTCCCTATTTACGGCTCTGGACAGTTTGCCTGGACCACGCTCGCCTGTGCTAGCCTGCGGTCTTCTTCGCTGCGATAGCCAGTCTCTGCTGCTTGCTGCAAACACCAAGCTGCTTGCTCACGCTGCTGCATTATCTCCAGCGTGACACATTACAGTTTATGTTAATCACAACTCAATGCAAATCATTGTGCAATAAAAGAAATCTGAATGGGTAAGAAATTTAGCAGCAAAAAATAGAAAAAAAACTAAAAGAACAGTCCATTTTACCAGACATTCTTTGTAGTACATGAGAGGAGACAATTTGCTGTAAAGCACCTTTCCTGTTTCTTTACCTTCATCTCAGTACCCTGTCCCAGGATCTCCACGCTGTGGTGCGTGTAGCCGTTGATCTCGAAGGTGATCCTCTCCTGATAGCGGATAGCCTCCCGCGGGTAGAAGGTGATGGGCACCTCCATCACTCCACCAGGGGGCAGCACGCCGGCTTGGAACCCCACCTCCAGATGGGCCATATTGGTGAACAAGCACTCCAGGCTGCACAGTAAGCATGACTTCAGCAAGACACAGAAGCATGCTTTGGCATTGCCCTGTGGGGTGCACGCAAAACTGTACACCTTCAGCAATAAACCATTGTGGTGATGGGCTCACACCTAAAGTTTGTCTAAACAATAAGTGTGCTTGCATATTTGTACATTATTTCCATGCATATTGAATGCACCTTTTCATTTTATATTGACAACAGTTCTTTATTGGAGAGAACTAACTTAGTCCAATTTTTATTCTTAATACAGTATTGATCTACACTATTATAGGAGACAGCAGTATGTACATAAGCCATATTTATCAATACCACATAGGTGTCAGGGACTTAATTAACAGTATACATTTCTCAGGGGTACAATCAACTGTACAAGGCCTTGGAGACTTGCATGCCTCCTATTTTTCTTAGAGGAGTTCAAAGAACTAAATTTTGTAGAGAAAGGTACAAAGATGGAGATGTTCTCTTCTAAGGGAAGAGATATTTTGTCCTGTTTTTAGCCCAAGTAAGATCTGTCTGCACCCTGTTTACCTGGCTCCTCTCTCTCCTTTGTTAGTAATGACAAGCGTCTGTCTGCAAGGCACCATCCCCGCGTGGTAGATAAAGTTAATCCCAAAGTTGTGTGTGGTGAAAGAAAAATGGACACCAGGGGCCACAGCTGATCCAGAAAGGAAGCAGTTAAACACAGGCCCATTCTTTATCTGTAGTGAAAGCAGAAAAGAGGCAGCATACAACAGGAAGGAAAGAATGGGAGAAAAAACGAAAGAGAATTAAAAAGAGCATTAAACTATGCACATTAAAAACAAAGGGGAACCCGTGCTATAATGACAAGCTTGAATACCTTGATCTTGAGACCAGTGTTCTTCAGCACACATTTATGCAGGGGGTTAAAGGTCAGAGTGCACTGGCTCTTCCGACCAGCTGCAACACTGCACCTCTCTGGCGCCACCTGTAGGTAGCGCAGGAGCTCCTGGGGGCCCCATAGCTCGTACAGCACATCCAGGCCAAAATGCCCGGGATTAGACACTAGGAGATAGCATGACAACTTGTCATTCGTCTCCACCTGAAAAACAACACCAAAATAAGTCCTGAGTGTTAAACTCTGGAGGACCTTCAGTTACAGTGAGGACTTATTCATAAAATTATTATGTTTTCTCAGAAGGTACAGTTATTAGATTGCCACTTCACCGCAGAAATCAAATATGAAGTGACACAGAGGGACTGGTGTCTTGTCCAGCCTGCAGTCTAACCCTGTGCCTTATGCCTCCAGGTTGGGCTCCAGGTTGCAATGACTCTTAACAGTAGTAAGTGGCTTTCAGATAAAGCATTGATAGATTTAGTGACCATCATCTTGACACAAATTAGCCGCATTTCACCCCAGCAAGGAATTACTTCACTAATTGAATTAAGAGGAAAAATGTAGGTAGACCAGCTTGCACCGGCCTAGAGTAAAAATTAGACAACACCCCTAGTTATTGTAGAGTTCCACTGGATTTTTAATTACCCAGCAGTTAGAGACAAGGACAGGTGCAGATTTTCTTTTACAGCACAGTACAGTATGTCTTAATAATAATAATAATAATAATAATAATAATAATAATAACCTGAGGGCTCCCAGAGAAGCTACAAGGTGGAAAGAAAGGTGTACCTGCTTGAAGCTGATCTCGTTGACACTGCTGGGACTGAGCTCTGTAATGAGCCCGTCGGGGCTCTCACACTGGACATTGGCACTCATGCTGTATCCCTCTGCTTTCACGTTCAGAGTCAGGGGCTGAGTCTTCCTCTTCACATCACACACCAGGTTGAAGTTCACATTGCCTTCCTGGGTGGGGGTGAAGGAGATGACCAGTGGGGATCTGTGACACAAGGGAGGATGGACACCTCTCATTGTCTGCACCCCCTCGTGCAGGGGTTGGCAGAAGGTGACCCATGAGCTGGTACCCCTTTGTACCTGCTCCTAGGTGGCACTGTTCCTTCCATAGGCTCCATGATCAGGCTGTCGGTGTAGCCCTTGGAGTGCCGGGAGCTCTCTTGAAATGAGAACTGGAATGCTATGTCCTCGCTGTTCACCATGTACACTGTTTCATGGGCCTCCCGGCCTGCACAGGACCACAGCAGACAAGAGGAAGAAGATAGAAGATAGTTTCTCTAACATTAAGGAGAACTAAGGTACGAAACACAAGCCAAACTGGAACTCTACCAAACTGCATTTCAAGGATGCATTTTGTCATCATATTATTTATTCATCTGTCTTCTTAATAATACATACACTTATATGAACGTACCCCCTAGTTATTCCCTATAAACTACACATTAGGGATGGGGGAACCAAGATTCAATTTATGAACAGGGAACGTTTCTTTCTTTCTTTGAGAACAGGTCACTGCAGGTGACGGCCAGCACAGCCCGCAGACTGAACAGCTGCAGTATGGTGCCTCACCGATGAGCAGGCAGCCATAGTTGAGGTAGGATCGGTCGAGGCAGACTGCTGGCTCTCGGGATGTGCCCACCAGCAGGAAGGGCACGGAGATGCTCTGCTCAGGGATCAGGAAGAACCAGAAAGATTCGATGCTTTCCAGCAGAAGAGGCATGAACTCAAAGGCAACCTAACGGAGAAATACAACCATGGAGACTCTGCTTGAGGAGTATGACTTTTAGTTTGAAGAAAACATGTGTACAAATAACTGCTTAAAAGCGCATTACCTTTTTATATTTTAAGAACCAGAAGGATGACAGTATTGCTAGGATGAGCATAATTCACTTCAGTAATTCTAAGACATTTAATTTGTTAATATAATTGTACTGGAGAAGCTGTCACTGTTAATTTAAAGCCTCCCTAAACATACAGATGTTGTTTCCACAGCTGAGATGGACACACACCTCCACTTTCTTCCCCGGCTGGATTGTGCCTCTGTCAGTGATGCATCGGAAGGGCGAGTGCAGTTTGAACTCCTCAGAGTCCTCACACCTCCACAGGAAGGAGTAAGCAGAACTGGTGGGGTTCATTATACTGAAGACTCTGCAGGGGATTCATGCGATAATTGTGACTTACTAAACAAAATACCACCGGAGCTTAAAGGCATCAGGCAAAGTGAAAATATTTCTTCCTGCTGTTGTTACTAATGGGAATGAGACAGGCAGAGGTTTGCAAGCCCTGCTACAAAGGGAGTAAAGTACAAATGACCTAGAGCGTGAGACTGAGTGGGAGAAGGTGGTTTACTGTATTCCATATTATTTCAGTGTAGGTATTGTAACAGCACGAAGGGCATGATGCTTAGAGACAAGCTGAAATTGTCCACATCACAAGCAAAATCAACAGAGAACCGAGAGAATCTAACTGACAGCTGTTTTTATTTTCCCATTAGAATAATAACATTTAAAGAGTGTTAAAACTGCCCTCACCACAGGCTTACAATAAAAAGTTAAAGCAAAGTTAATGGTGTGCAGCTGAGGACTGTGCGGCTACCTGGAGGTGGTAGTTGTGATTCCCACAGAGGTGAACTCCAGGACCCTGGTGTTGGGGTCCAGGGTGGCCCTGGGAGGGGCGCCCTGGGGCCCCCGGAGCTCTGGGTTGCGCCGGCTGCTGCTGATATAATCTGAGTCCTCCAGGTCAAAGTGGCAGTAAGGCAAGAGGCTGCGGCCACTCACTGCCATCGTGGGGCCCTGTCCATCCTTCAGGTTTGGGATACTGAAAGAAAGCAGGCCAGCCGGCTCTCCCTGAGCCAGAGTCTTTTTGTGTTCTTGAATAAGGATAACATTGTTTGTTTTTGTGCTGCAGGTTTTGTATTTTTGGGGGGCTCAAAAAACATATGTGGCAAAGTTGGGGCTCCACACAGAATGGAGATGGTAGTTTTCGCGCCCTAGCCCTCCCTCTGGGTGACGAAATTTTTCCCCCCACGAAGCCGCCTGAGTGCTGACCTGCAGACGAGCCGCCCCTCGCTCTCCGCCACCTCCAGAGGGGAGAACTTGATGCGGAAGGCCTGGCTGCTACCGGGGGCGATGGCTCCGGCGCTGGGCTCCACAGAGAAGGGAGGCACATCGGGATCCCCAGCCAGGAGGGATGACACTCTTTCCAGAGCGCTGGCAGGCCGGCTCCGTATACTACTGCTGAGGCGAGAGCCTGGGGTTTGAGTGGACGAGACACCTGGACACACAAAGTTAATCGACATTGTATTGGACTTTTTGCCTACTGTACACACACTTCTGGTCAATACAGTACATTGAAGGAAGAATGAAGAAATTATTGAATGACACATGCGTGGTAATTACAGAATCTGTTCCTTCTTTCACCAAACTTCCCTTCGTAAACTAGGCCTGCGTTTTGCAGTTTGAGTTGGGACATGTGTCAGCATGCGTAGGCTGCAAAGGAACAGGTAAAGGTTTATTCCACGATGAAAGGAAAAGAAAAGAAAACAGACAACGTTTCAGCTGTGGAGCCTTCTTCAGGTGTGACAGGGGTGACACTTGAAGAAGGCTCCACAGCCAAAATGTGTCTCTTTTCTTTTCATTTCAGCATGGAATAAACCTTTACCTGTTCCTGTTAAAGTACTGTATATGATATTGGTTTAGCAGGGTGACATCCACGGTACAATAACAAATAATTTGACCAAAAGACAGACCTAAAAGTCAACCAAGCAAGAACCTGTGACTCCGATCATGACTCTTGTGTTCCTCCTAAATTATTATTTAATATACAGTACAGTAAGGCTTTTTCAAAATGATTTAGTCCAACTGTTTTTCCCGGACATTTCTATCTATTTATTACCGTCTGAGTCTGTGTGTCTCTCAATGAAGCCAACACCTTTTCCACATCTCTCCATTAAGACCTGCCAGGAGAATTCCAGCTGTACATTGCCCTCATTTGTCATCTGTATCCTGGTACAGAGAAAGAAGGAGAGAGGATGAATCACCGCTAAGAGTTTAGTTTAAAAACTGCCATGCTTTATAATATCTTTCCAAGTCCAAGAATGACCACTAGCTAGCTTTGTCAGACGTGTCATACACTTCTTTATAGTGTAACTGACTGAGAAAGGTCTAACACTCACTCGAAGACTCTGGTCTGGAAAAGCAGAGTGTCTTTGAAGCGGATGGTCTCGGTTTTGCATTTGAACTGGGCGTAGTCACACACAGCACTGACTCTCAGCTCCAGTTCATGAGAGGAATTTTCTATAACAGCGTGGACCGGCTCAGGATCTGTCTCTATCACCTGCGGGATGGGGAGAGAAGGCGCACAGAGCAGCCATGGAAGGAAAAGATCAATAATTAGTAGATTACTGGTCCTAACCACTGCCCTAACTTTTCCATAAGCTTGTTTTGTATTATTTGAAATAAGCAAACTGCATATACCTGCAATCGAAAGTAAAAGTCAAAATGCCCTTATTGATGCTTTTCACATTATTGCAAATCTGCATATTAGTGCTTTAACATTATTCCTTTTCCTAAAGTACAAGGTCCTTCATCTAAATGTTGACCTGATGGACAGAATACAATGTTAATCACTTCACCTGAAATAAACTCTGCTGCACACAGGATCACCTATGATTACCTTTCTCCTGGCAGAAGGTGGCAGAGCTGCTTGCCTTCCGACATCGACCCACTTCACAGTTCTCATCCTGTCGTCCCAGTCGGGCACCTGGTCCACTGGCTGCTGGAAGCCAATCCTGCACAGCTTACACTTCATCAGCCGAGCACTCAGGGCGACGGGCTGCTCGGAGTGGAAGGTCACAGTGATGTCTTTCGAGCAGCCAGCATGGAGGTGCCCAACCTGGAAGAGGAGAAGACGGAGTGAAGCAGAGCTTAACATACTTCACTAGGGCTTCCCAGAGTTGCATACAAACAAATGCAGGAACCCCCACAAAATGTACACAGGAATCCTGCATCAAGTCTAGGTGGATTTAAAAAAAATGAAGTAATGAACATAACATTTTGAAATTGTTGTGGAGGCTCCCATGCTGTTAATTAACCAATGTGTTTCTTTGTATGTGAATTAAAAGAAACTATCGATAAAAAAGTATGGGATCGCAGTTTTAATGTATTAGGGTTTCGGACCCTTGAGAGGTATGTACTGTAAGACAGCGGAAAAAATGCAGGGTTTCCTCTCAGCTGAATCACTGAGACACAGACAAACACTGTTACCCCCTGCTGCACCTTAGTTTCAGGTGAATTTTAAATATAATCTCTTAATCCAGCGCCTGCAAAAGATGTATAGGTCACAGCCATAATGGTAATCCTAGAGAAAAGTTCATTTCTCCATATTGTCCTGCAGGTTGATATGTTTTTTGAGGTATGGACAATATTGGTACCAGTGTTCGTGAAGGCCAGCTTGGTAAAGAAAAGTCATGCACGTTCTCTGAAATCTGGCATGTGTGCAGGTGGAACTCAAGAGTGATTTTCAGGATTATAAAAGGTCTGATGTAACAGTGAGGAGCCACTGTATATTGGGATTATGAGAAGTGCTTTAACTTTGGCTGGCAAAGACTCTTTAGACACACTGAAAAGAAATGTTTTACAGTACCTGTGGAGAGAACTTGAGCTGTGGGCTATCAAGAGGCCACTCAAACCGAAGAACGTCTGCACTGCTATGATTGGTCATGGTGAAGCTCTCCTGGTAGGCCCTCCCAACATGACAGTCCCCAAAATGGAGGATGTCTGAACGGTATACTGAAATATACAAGGGGCGTAATGATATACAGGTAGACCAAAATCTCTTAATACATGTGCTGCTCCCTTAGTTTGACCAGGCTTGCAGAATGGCAAAAAGATGTTCCTTCAAGCAGGTATTCCTATTCTGAACCTCCTAACACAGAAATGTAACTGCTGCCTTGTCCCCACCTTCTAGGTTGTCCTGGTCCAGCTGTGTGGCCTCAGTGCTGGCAGTGCTGTGGATGTTGTCCAAGGTGACCTGGTCCTGGTAGCCTTCTCCCAGCAGCTGCACCACTGTCTCCTCATACTGATTATCCACTACCAGGATGCGCACGGTAGCATCGTAACTCTGCACTGCTGCTGGGCTGAACACCACAGAAAACTCTGCCTGCTGTCCTGGAGTGAGGATCAGGGAGGCTGTGTGTGCTGCATGCCTCTCTACAGAAGGCATTCAGAAAGAAGAAAGGGATAGATTAACACAGTATAGAACTAGGGGACAGATTCTTTGGTACAGTATTTCTGTTGCTAATGCTGTTTCTACTGTCCTGCATCTTTCAGTTTCTGAATCAAAGAATACACATACACCTATGTCAGAGACCACTGAGTAGACATCCACAGTTCTGTCATCCAAAGAACTGATAAATCCACAGTTATTTCAGTTCAAGAAGCTGTGTGGGGTCACTGACAGGACTGCCTCCTACCTGACTGGCCTACGTAGCCGCAGCTGGTGTTGGGACCAGATTTTACAGTGAAGTCTCCCGTCTCATCCAGCAGGTCAATATTGATCTGTGAGCACAGACACATTGAACAGTGTGAACATCCGTGAAGTCAGCTTATGACGTGCAGCAGCTGGTGCTGAGACATGTGACATTCAAGTCCTGCCTTTTATCTTTGGGTTAAAATGTTTTTTGAAGTAAACTACATTTACTGATCAGTAAATGCTGGAAAGGTGTGCTGTTTGCAGTCTCTTCGCGTCCCTAGTGTGACTCACCTGTGCAGGGACACTGCTGTCATTCATCAGTAAGAGGGGCAGTTTCTGGGTGCGCCCCAGCAGGAGGCGTCGGAACAGGAGCAGTGGGCTCCCCCTGTGGTTCCTCAGCGTGGGCCGAAGCACGGACACCCGCGCCAGGTTCCCGTCCCCCGCAATGTCAAAGACCAGGGCCTTCGTCTTCACCATGGGGCTGGAACTGAAAAACGCCAGGAGATTCGCGTGGCTCATAAGGCTCGCACACCACACTGCTGTATTTCCTCATACATGCAATTGTGCTATACCTGACTGAAAGACAGATCAGCAGTGACGTGAAGCAGAACTCTGCCCAGTACAATACATGTGCTACAAACCATTTTTGCCCTCCTTGATCTAGGTTTTACATTTGAAGCTTATCTTCAGAATACCGTGAAGGTGACTCCTCTTCATCTTTGTAACATTGCTTGCATCTATTCATATCTCTCTGGTGCAGAAATGCTAATGCATGCTTTTGTCTTTTCCAGGATTGATTATTGTAACACCGTGTTTGCTGGTGTATACAAACATGTTTTTAATGAACTGCTGAGGGTTCAGAGTTTATTTATTCAAATTTTAACTAAAACTAAAATATATGAGCATATATCTCAGTTTTCGTTTCCTGATACTGACTCCCTGTACATTTCATGATATATTTCGAAATACTGATGGACACCATAAACTCTCTTTTAAGGGCTCAAATGGTTTGGCTACTGACAATTTTAATTTCCAAAATGATTTGGAATTTTAGATTTTGCAAGACAATAGTTTTTGAATATCTTTTCCGAACTTGAATATACTCACGTTTAATTTATGGCATTAATGTTTTATTGCCAAGTGTTATGATATGCTGTGGCATGCAAGCTACTGTATATAAAATAAAGATCATGATTTTTAATGGAACAAACAACTTCTTGTACCTTAACACGCCTTCCACTGAAGCCTCGAATACAGCCTGGTAGTTCTGCATGCTCTGAGGAGTAAATGTTGCCACTACAAAGGCATGGGAGTGACTGGGGACGCACAACTTCACAGGATCCACCTCGAATACATCGCTGATTCGGCCAGACACCTGAAACAGCAATCCTATGTGAATCTGATTTAAGAAGAATGCAGAAAACCTGGTATGTAAAATTTAAAAAATGCCTCCATCTTATGAATGTCATAATCCGTCATATGAATGCCAGCAATTCAGCTCCAGGGTACATGTTTTCTTCTGTGATGCTGATTACCAACCTCCATATAATAGTTATTAGCAATGTCTGTTGGATCCATAACGGCAGTGTGATAGATTGACTTGAAATAAACAAAACAGGGACAATAAAAGATAATCACACAGAACAAACACATTCTGTTCCCTACTATGCAGACTCACCTTGGCAGAAACGGGCCTCACTGCCAGACTCAGGTCGCAGGGCACTCTGCCTGTATTAATGATTTTGAAGCGTGCCTTGGCCTGGCGACCCACCAGCACATTGCAGAAGAGAAACTTGTTTTCATCCTCGATGTAGATCCCTGTGCAGTCAGAGATCTGCAGAAACTGGAACAGGCTGCTGTTTTTACAGATCCGGTGCTCCTCAAAGATGGAAGCTATGTCATTCACAACTATACCTTAGAGGTATAAAAAAGAACAAACAATACGTAAGAAAAGTTAAAATACATACAGTACACCATACTGCTGTTGGAAGCTGTTTTGAGTGCTTACTAATTTTCTAACCATTACCTCATTGCATATATAGTCCACATCTAAAAGGTGAATAAAAATTGGAGGCATTAGTTTAACGGACTTAAAGGAATGCCCTGCACACCCTGCACAGAGTAAAAGAACGTATCCTTTTTAGTCTTGAACAGAGAAGACCACAAGGGGACCTCTAGTTCTGAAAGTCCTGAGAAGTCCTTGAGAAGGCAATTCTTCAGAATCAAAGACACAAACCAGAAGTTGTTAGTGGGAACTATGTGGAAGTACATTTAAAACTGAGAAAGAGAGACACATCTTTATCCAAAGGGTTAAATAGTCTCCATCAAGCTATCATGTCATGTGTCACAAGCTGATATGCTGGCTTCCTTGAGGAAATAGCCAGATGAGACCCTTGGATCAATTAACTACCAACTACCTGAAGACGTAGATGGGTTGAATGAACTCTTGTTTGTACCACTTCTTACTTTGCCATGTTTCTGTGTTCTTATCTTCAAAGCCAACACATACCTGGTATGCAGCCTTCTGCAACAAGTCTGTATGAGATGCCATTGGGCTGGTCGCTGGGGTCCCGGTCAGATATGTCAATAGCCAGGTACTCCTCACACTTGCCCACCTGGTCGGCCACACACTCCACAGTGATGATCTGGTGGGTACCGGGAGCCAGTGGTCCAAATCCAGGGGACACAGTGAACATCCCAGTGGAGAACCGAGCCTGGGAAAGCACAAACACAGGGCAGCAGGATTCAAATGAATGTAATTTTTAACAATTTTCTATTAACCATGTATGACATTGAGGCAGCTGGTGCTCACCTGGGAGATCACAGCTGCCATGATTTGTTGCTTTAATGGGTGGCAGCTTATTAAATGATGCCATGTCTGAATACTTCAGAAGCAAGAACTCTCTTCGCCACAGAGAGTCTGAAGAGAGTTCAGACAGGGCACTTAAACAGGGTGACTCACAGTTGCCAACCAATAAAACAACAACTTACAGCACCTGTGAGGTCTCACACAAGCACTAGCTGACCCAGAGACAACCTTTTCTGAAAGAGAAAACCAGAGGTCTAATGAATTACAAATTAAAGTAAAACACCACAGAAGTTTAGCAGTCCAGGCACTTGAGGTGTTGGAAGTAGCACAATATAAACGAGAGGAGTCTGTATCTATACGCAGAAGAACAGAAGGAATCCAGATGTAGAAAATTATTAGGTGTAGGTATTAGGTTTGAAACAATGTAAAATACATGAAAATGCATTCTTACTATTTTCAGTGATTGGCAAAAAAGCTGCAAATGAATTTCAGGAAGGCAAATGAATGTCAAATGCAAAGCAAGTGCAATTTCTTCTCCGAGGCATAGCCGACAGATGGCACTTACAGTACCCACCTGCACAGAGGTGCCCATTTCTTTCTGCACAGACTCACTGCGCCGCAGTTTGCCAACAGGAACTGACTTCCCTGAGCAAGACCCCTCCCGTGAACGGGCCCGCTTGACGGCAACAGCACTGTGCAGAGACGCCAGAACAACATTAATATTATGTACATGTGCGTTAACACCACCACCACAGCTCCACTCATCTTAATCTGCACTTTTCTACTGTGGGCTTAATTAAACAGATGCAGAAAGATATGGACACTTTAATTAGTTTGTCCCATGGGATACAGTATAGCATTGATATAAAAAGCTCCTCATCGTGGACATCATTTAAAGACTATTCTTATATTCTAGTCAGTTTGATTAGAAGCTCAATTTGTGTTTGAATCACTCAAGAACAGAGTACACTGTTCTGTTTGAAACAACATGATTTCTGTATTTAATTTCCAATTGCAGGAGAAGACAGATAATTTCTTTAGTCTTGTGCATGTGTGGCTTTACCAGAGATAAGTGGAAGCTGTGAAATGTTGTCTATATTTAGGTGCCTGACAGAACAGTGTGCCAAGAGAAAAGTTAAAATCCCTTTTCTGTTCTTGGCAATAGAAGACACAGATTAGTAACGCAGAGTTGGATGCATAATTGAGTTTAGCTGGCTCTTACCCTTTTTTCTGGGTTGGAGGTGGCACATCTTTGGACATTCTGAAGATGGTGTATCTGAGCTCAAACTCTCCCTTGTTCTCAATGGTAAATGTACGGAGCTTGCGACTGCCGTAGACCAATGCACCAAAGTTGATATCGTTTGCGGGGCTTATACTATACTTGGTAAAAAGTGACTGTATGGACACTTTCACTGGGATGCTGGCTATGGTTTCTCCTCCTTCTGCAACATTGGGCTCAATCACCTATATACAGAAGCACAAGGAGGATTAATACATTTAGAAAGGCATATGTATCCTACGAGTTAAAAACTCGTAACCTTGGAAATAAATCTATGATTCCAACAATCTATCCTGCTTAACAACTCATGATGACAGACATTTTGAATCATTTGCACTTTACTGCATTAAAGTAAAGAGTAAAGTTCAAAAGTCTGAGCTGTAAACTAAACAGATTCAATCAGAATGGAGACTGGAGGCTAGAGTAGGTGTACCTGGCATCGCAGGATGGGCTTGTCCTTGATTGACACCTCCTTATTGGAGCGGAAGACTATCTGCACGGTGGTGGGCCTGTCACTGGGGTTCAGGGAGCCCTTCTGGGGGGTGATGGTGAAGAGCGAGGTGAGGTCAGGCATGTCTGGCTCTGTGGCCTCCAACACGAAACTGAAAGGGGGTGGAAGAACAGCGAGTTGACTTTGTCTCCCCTTTTCAGAAAACCAAGAATTAATACCAGAGCTCAGAAATGCAATCCGTTTTTCAGGACAGCTTTGCAGGAAAAAAGTGTTTTATTATTTCTTAGGAATAAGTTCTTGAGTATAGGAATTGTGATGGATGGCCAGAGTCCAGAGTCAACAGACAGTTTCAGAAAGACAGATTTGCAAACTACTTACTGAAATACAATCTCATATTTGCCCTTGTTCTTCAAATTCACAGACAGCTTGACTTCTTCTGACACTTTGATTAGCCCAAAGTCAAGACCTCCATCAGCACCTGAATAACAAGCAGTACAGGGTTACAGTTTACATCCCAGCTTCTGTCTGCCAGTACACAAAGCATCACTAAATCTCTCAGGTAGCTGTAAACTCAATCAATACAGTGGTGCAGTGTAAGAGTAAAACTGCTCTTGTATTTTTATTCATCTGAAAAGGTACTGTATATAAATCAGTATATACGAACTATCACACATATACTGTACTCTGTGCAGTTTTATAATTTGCAATATATATGTAAGGTATGGTACAGTATATAAAACAAAGGGAAAATCATTTAGAAAGCTTACAACAAAATATAGATGTTACAATAAACTTATTTATAGAGGTTAAATAAGCTTCCTTAATCAAACATTCAAGCATGGAATTGAGCGTATATACACTGTACACTGTGTGTATGAAAACATTACCTCTGGGAAAGCTCATATCAAGCGCTACATCGTAGGCCTCTGCGATGATCTGAATGTTCTCTGTGTGGACAATCCCCAGGATGTTCTCCACATCAGACACCTAGTGCCAACGATCAAGAGGAAACCGAGACAAATGAAACAAATCATCAGAATGAAAGTCAAGGCAGACAAACAAGCTACCGCATTAAAAAATTTGAAGTTAAATGAAATTAAAAGTTTATAAAAAAATAAAAAGAACATTTGGAACAAGGATTTTTCAGAAATCCTTCAGATTTGCAGTCCTTTTCAAAATATTTTCCAAGAAATCATGATCATTTTCTTACAAATAAATTAGGAAATGTGTGCCTTTATATTACAAAAATGTAGATTATTATATCAAAGAAAATACTTTGGTTTATATTATGCTACTAATTGCTGGTCTCAGCTGCCACACTTTTCAGTCAATATCTACATACTCTGGGATTAATTATCACAGTTTTAAAGACTATTTCCGCTAGCCCTAGTCTAATTTTGTTTAGGTTATTAGTCTTATAAACTGGTTTAGTAGTGTGACCCAATAGGACGCACCATGGGAAAAGGAAACACAGTTTTCAGGTCCTGTCAGGGTATCAACGCAGCCCATCATACAGTACCTCCAGTCGGATGGCTCTCTTGAGGTTGACAGGCTTCATGGCCCTGAAGTGCATCTGCAGGGAGAACTCGGACTGCGGCTGGATGATGCCCTGGTCCTGTGAGACTGTGAACTCGTCCCCCAGCACCTCCAGCCCACTCAGCCTCCAGGCTACTGGCAACAGGGTGCTGTTCCTCAAGTACAGGCTCTTGGTGTCCTTCCTGAACAGGAGAGTGAGACAGGCAAGACTGTCAATATCACAAGGTTTAACCAGAGGAAGGCCTATTCCACTGTGGCTCTGTTGTTTAGCCCCGTGCCTGCGTTAACTGAGTTAATGCACCATTCTTCATCATCACCATCCTTGCCTTTGCTATCTCGGAAAGAAACAGACAATTTTTTAACAAGTGACCTTGAAAACTATGGTGAAACCAAGTGTTAGTAAGCATGATCCTTATCACCAACATCATCAAAGGACAGAAACTTGACCTGTGCAGCAGGATCTTGTCAAAGTGCAGTTGCTTGCGATCTATGTCCAGTTCTGGCCTGACCCCGCGGCAGGTGATTCTGAAGAGCACTGGTTCGGGGTTCTCTCTGACACAGCACACCACGCTGTCCTCGAAGACTCCTGGGGAGGTGGGGTACGCCCACACTGTCAGCTCCTGACAAGCATATGGGAGCATTTGAGTTAAGCTTCACAGGGGACAATAACCGAGCGGGGTTTTCTATGCTTTTTGTGGTGATTCAGAATCTGCAATGTCATTTGTGAAATGAGTGGTTTAAGGATAATAATGTAGCTGCTACAGTTAGATTTATGAAGTACGGTGCTCTCTTTCCACTCTCACTGACAGCCTACCTGTTTCTCATTTGGTCTGAGGGTCATGGAAGGAGGGTCCAGTAGAAAGGTGGTGGCCTTGGTGTCGTGCTGGAAGCAAAAGAAGACTTCGGCATCCAGGGGGGAATTGTTGTGCACAATCAGCTTCTCCGTGTTCTCAGGGTATTTCCGCTCTTTGTACCTACCAGAAAGACCGCAAGGTAGAGGGGTTAGGATAGACAAAGGCAAGAACAGAAAGAGGTGTTTCGGTCTTGTGCCACATGCAATTCTTAAAGATGTTTTAAACTAAATAATCGATTCTCCAAAACAAAAAAGTAGTTGGTCACTTACCATTAAAAGAGAACGCAATAAAAGTATTAAAAGACAACAAAATCAATATTCAATTTCAAGACAATCCCTAATTCCTAAAATGTAATTTTAAGAAGGTATTAACTTTCAGAAAATGTTTAAAAAACCCTCTCTGTGCTGATTTGAGGAATTACCTGTCCCTCGTTTTTCCACAAAGAAGAGGTCCAAACTCAAAGACCTGTGACTTGAAGATGTACGTTTTCTGCAATGTCTCACCCGGTTGCAGGGCTAGGGCCTTCTTACAGTGAGCGAACACCGTCCTGGAATGCAGACAGCAGAACAGGTCAATTTTGATGAACTGTATTTACTCTGTGAATCAACACCCCTTTTTTCACCAGATAACAAGAGAAAGATTACACTCTTGTTTTTGTTCTCCAATATAGGTTTCTAGGCTAGAAATTACATCTATTTGTAAGAATTTGTGTGTTAACCAAGAGGACAAATAATCATAATCGGGGCACTCTCACTTTTTGGGTAGTACCTTTTAAAAACCTGTTAGCAATATATTGAAGATCTAAGCCTTAGGGAAATATGGAATATGACTACAAAGCCATATTGGCAAAAGTCATACTATAGACTGGTATTTTCTGAAACTGGAAGAGATGCTCTAATTTAGTATGTACAGTAGCAAGCAAACAATCTAGATGAGCTGAAAGGCCTCTTATTTGCTACGTCATGTTTTTTTGGTACAGTGAGACTCTTATTGACTGGATTCTGCCCGTTCTCTGCCTTCAGATCAGATGCCTATTACTCAGAGTTCATGTGGCACAAACAAGTAAAAACTGTGTCATTTCTGTGCAGCCAACAGGAGCTAGCACAATGCTTCATTTCAGTACAAAGAGCTAGGATCAGCTACATACTGTATGCATTTGAACCAGAAGCCTTCCAGCGACATAAATACCCTGCACTTTGTACTTTGTTTCCCAAAATTCCAGACAGAAAACAGAAAAGAAAAAAGAATGTGAATAGCATCCTACACCTCTATTTTGAATAGAATTCCAATGTACATGTACAGTACATGTGGCAACAAACTCTTCTACTCTGCACAATATGAATTGTAATAAATCTGCCTCATGAACCTTAAAACTTAAAAGTACAACAATGCTAATTAAGGTGAAAGGAGGGAGAAAACAAAATGGAACCTGATGCAAAACCAAAAGGGCTGATTAAGAGGAAGATTTGAAGATCCTGAAGTGGGAGTGAACAGTTGGAGATGTTGCAGACAGACTTGATCCCTGAGGAATCTAAGTAGATTCAGGGTAAGAGGACAGTGCTATAAATACAAGCAGTGGACATTCAGACAATGAAGACAGCTGACACTGGGGTATATTTGATTGGAGTCTATAAACTACTGGTGAAAATAATGACCAGACCATCGGGTAAGAAAATAAGAGCAAAGGTCGCTTTGGAATATCGTAAGGGGAAGGAAAGAAAAACAAAAAGCAACTTTTATTATTAATCAATTGGCAAAAATAAGGTGCTTTTGCCAAATAAAGGACACTGGAATCACAGTAAAAGGATACAGTAGAATAGGTTGTGCACCTGCCATCTACCCTAATTTGTAGCAGATGTCAGTAGCATGGAGTATTCTTTATTGTATTGCATTTTAGCTGCAATTTGGTAATAATGAAGGAGTAAGAATGTTCTGTCTTGTGTTAAGTAGTTTTAATTCAAAACTGATAGTGATTATAATGCACAGTATTACAGTTGTAATTTAGTAATAACATTGGTCTGTAATAGACCACATTGTGGTTGTAAATAAATAAATCTATAATGTACTGGATTGTAGTTTTAAATCCAGTAATGACATTGGCCTAGAAAACATTCAGTTGTAATTCAGTAGTAACTCTCTTTGGTCTCATAAATTCACCTGCTCTGATGCCTTTCTCTTTCTAATAACACAACTTAACATTAAAGTAAACATTAAGTAAATTAGAAGTGGTAGTGTACTAGCTATTGGATTATACACCTTTATCATGACTCCAACAGTAAAAAAAACACATGCAGTGTTACAGATCATACAAAACTAAGGTCTTTTTCAATTATAGTAGTGCATCTTCTATCAGCGATACTTACTTGGCGTCTTTACTTATTGCTGGAAAGGCACACACACCTCTGCAGTACAACTGATAGCGCCTCCTAGTGCCCAAGATCTCAAAGTTCAGAGTCTGATCAAACTGGCCAGACACAGTAGAATTGAACCAGACTTTAAGGGACATCTCTCCATGGGGCGGCACAGTCCAGCGGAAGTGAGTCAAGCTGAAGGAGATACAACATTTTCAGGCCACATGTTCACCACAGGATGAGTCATGCAAGGCCTTTTCAGCATACTTATAAGACAGCGGGGAATGGAAGAAATGAGTAGAATCTCACACTAACAAGTTTGTGATTGTACTTGTTTTTCTTCTTTGAAAAAAAGTTTCTTTGGTCTAACTTTCTGTTGGTTATTGTATCTATATTTGAAGTGAAGAAAAAAATGTTGGCAACACCCATTCTTACGAAGCTTATTAAAGACTGTTAAATGTTTGTCGCCAACAATGTCCCTTTCATCCCCAGGAGTTTGGGAAGTGCAATGTCTCGAGCTGTCGAGACAGGGGGCAGCCCGCCTCACCGCTGGGTCTTCTGGAGCGCGGGCTCGGCTGTGCGGCTGCTCTGCTCGGTGTCGGAGAGTGGGGTGACAGCTATGAGCGGGGGAGAGCGCGACTCGCTGCCACGGGACCCCTTCTTCGACCCCACCGCCGCTCGCCGCTTGTCCTTCTGGCTCTCCCGCCCCGTTTCCGTCTTCTCCTTCTTCCCGCGACCTTTGCTGGGGGTCGCCGACTCCTCCTTGGAAAAAAACGAGTGTGTGTATTCACACCGATGGCTGGACAGGGCCGGAACCCCATGGGGTTAGCCTGGCCAGGTGAGACTTCCGCACATTCATCCAAGATTTTTGTACATTAGGATTTACAAGCTATCAAAGCCCCTCTCCCAGCTGTGGCAACTTCTAACCTCCCCGTACCAGGCTACAGTGGCAATTCTCATTAGCAGCAGGAAATCTGGGAATCTTTCCTACCTTGATGAATGAGATGGAGCCTAGTGCATCTAACTCAGTCTCTGCTCCAACTGTGTCTTTCTTGTCCTCCACAGTGTCTTCTGGAGCAGACACGATGAATGTGAAGTGACTGAGGATCTCCTGGGTGCTAAGCGGTGGCCTCTTCTTGGGGTATGGCACAACTGAGAAGATGGTGGGAGGAGGAATCGGGGGGCCTCTGGTTCCCAATCCCAGCCCATCTAAAACCTGGATAATAAGAATTGAGCCCGGGAAATGTTTCAGAACAGGGACCCTCTCCAGGATTTTTTATTTCCTTCTTTTTTCTTTTAGTTTCCTGATCTATTTTGGCTAAATTTGTGCTTGAAATCTAGGTGTAGAAGAAAAATATTCCATACTAAAAACAATAAAAATAGATATTGAACATATGAAGCCAAATGCCATATTCTTACTGTGTGAGTATAGACTACAACATAAGACCAAAAGTACCTTGTAAGACAATTCTTTGTATATATCTAGACACACATGCAGGCAATCTCAGTGACATGTGAAGCATTACCTCATCAAGGGGGGGCAATTTTCCACTCTTGAGGATCTCGGTCCCACTGGGGTAATTCTTGCCGCTGACCTGAAGGGGGATATAGGGCACCCCCACCTCACCACTGCCTTCCAGCTGTTCCTCTCTCTCCCCACCATCAAAGCTCTCTCCCTCCATCGTCTGACTAGGGACAGGAGAAAGCATCAATTTGGGGTCCGCGTCCACTTTCAGCCTGTCCACCTTCTCCCTTTCCTGCCGGTCCTTCTCCGCTTTCTCCTTCTCCTGCTTCTCCTTCTTGCCCTTCTTCCCCGATGGGGCCTGGCGCTCGGGCACCGTGTTGTCTTCGGCTTCCTGGGGCGCATCTTCCTGGGTCAGCAGCTGCACCAGCTGGCCCTGCACGCGGTCCCAGAACCGCGCAACCTGGGAGACGGCCCTCTGGCTCTGCTCGTACAGCCGGAACCGCAGCAGCAGCGCCTTCTCCCGCTGGTCGGCCTGATCCTTCTCCGTTTCCTCGGAGGACGCCAGAGGCGGAGGGGACAGGTCCTGCCCTGTCGCTCTCCCTTCCTTGGCTTTCTTCTTCTTGTTCCCTTCTTCGGGGTCGCTGCGCTCCGTGGGCATCGATTCAGGGCGCTCCATATACGACAGCTTCCTCTCCCCGGGAGCCTGGTCCACTCTCGTCTCCGAGCGGATCCCAGCCAAACTGGACACCTGCAGGGAACCCCAAGCAACATGGAAAAACCTCGACCAAGGCAAATCCTCAGATTGAACGGTTCAAGTGCATCAAGTGTTTAAACAAGAATACATTTATTTCACCTCCTAGAAATGATATCCCAGCTATGTTTGCTGAAAGCTGAAGCTCCTGATGTTAAACCTTTGATGCTGAATGACCAAATGAGTATTTGCAACTCTTTCTTACAGAGGAATCTACTGTATTTTGTCTCAGTAACTCAGTATCATAATGACTATTTCCATTTAAATCCAGGTGCAATTATATTGGAATATGGTGTGGTTTTTTCTAATAATGTAGTAAACATTTCCTGAAGAACTTCAATATTACTGTGACACTCTAAAATCTACAGTATACTGACAATTTGAACTTGGGAATTTACATTAAATTAAAAAGTACCGACTTGTTTCATGGTAAATAATCACAACTCTACCTGCTTCCCCGCCAGCTGACTCTTCTTCCCGGGGCCTGCTTCCTCTTTGCTTGGTTCCTTACGCCCTTTCTTACTCTTCTTCCTCATCTCTTCTTCCTCTCTCAGCCTCTCCAGCTCTTCCTGCTGCCTCCTCTCCTCCAGCTCCTGCGCCAGCCTTTCCTGTTCCCTGAGGACAGAGAGCCGATATGGCACAGTGACATGCAGCATCCCAGTGCCACGTCATTGATCTAAGGAGTTTTGTGTGTTAAAGTAGAATGGAATGTGAGGGACTGTGGATTGTTCAATATGTAATTCCTATCTTAACACTCCCCTTCTGGTGCTCCGGGGCTTTTAAATGAGAAGGATTGTACGAAGAGAAGAGGTTTGTACGAGTCCTCCTGATGCATGATAGCTTACCTGCGCTTGCGCTCTCTCAGATCTTCCAGGCGCTTGAGGTCAATGTGTTCTCTCTCTCCCTCTGACAGCGCATCATACTCCTCTTCATCCATCTCCTTCATCCGCGCCTTCTCCATCTCTATTCTCTCCTGAAGCAGCCGTTCTGAGAAGTGGAAGGGACATCTCATTCAGTATTCTAGACATCCATACGTCTCGAAATTAAAGTCCGGCCTTATTCGCCAAAGCCATTGCAGTTCCAGCTTGTGCATTCCTACCCTCCTCATCTCTCTCAGACTTCTCCTTAGCTTTGAGTGTGTTGTAATCCTGGATGAGGTTGACCAAGTAGATATAACGGCGGTTGTTAAAAGCTTTGAGAAGAGCCTGGAGTGCACTGGATGGCGAGCGAGAATATAAGGTCTCCAAACCATCAAAAACCACTCCCCGATGACAGTCATTCAACTACAAAAAGACAGACAGGGAATAGCATTGAAAACGAGAAGGCCAGGATATACCTGGAGCATACTGTGGAACTAAAAGAAATGGTACTGTGTCTGTAACAAAGTTTTCAGGTTAGGGGCATGGAGGTTAACTTTGGCAGGGGCTTTGTATATTTCAATGTCTGTTAGCTTTACAAATGGATGATTGATGCCAAAAAAATAAGAGGAACTACGAGAGTGCTTATACCTGTAGAAGCAATGCAATGAACTGAATCAGTACAAAACAACTGTCCACAGACGTATTCTGACACTGTTATTCTGCTCTGCCTTCCCCCAGTTTGTCCTGAGATCCCCATCCCTCCGCCAGCTCTTTTCCCTCATACCTGCAGCCTCTCGGCCAGGATGTCCACCAGCAGCTCATCGGGCAGGACGCAGCTCAGCAAGCCCAGCTCTCCGGCCACACTGGCACTGACACTGAGCCGCCGCTGGGGCAGACCTGAGTGCGCTGGGGCTGCTGTGCTCTGAGGCACAGCATGGATACAGACCAGCATTATTAGGAACACATAAAATAGCGAGAAAAAAACAAACAGCGCACTTGTGTTAGAAAGCAAAATGGGCTGACTGCTTTTGGCAAAGCCATTTTATCACAATATAGAAGATTGCTACTGTAAGTCATTCCTTTAAGGACAGAATTAAAAAAATATTAAAAATGTGTATGAACAACTACCGTATATGTACAATTTACAGCATTATAGCTTAGATGGCCAATGGACAGTAGTCAGAGCCAACTGCTATCCTACGAATGTACCTGGGAGTTGACAGTGGGCTCAGAGGACTGCTGCTTCTGGGTCTGGGAGCTCTCAGCTTTGCCCTTGCCACCCACAGTGCTGGCTTTATTGCGGACAGAGATGGCAGACTGAGGCCCAGCTTTGGCCTCGTTGTTCTGGCTGCCCTCGGAAGCGTGTTTGGTCACAGCCTCCACACTGAGGAAACCTGTGCCCTGCGTCCCAGCTCCTATCACCTCCGACACAGCCTGGGCTGGTGCAAAGATAGAGGGTGTCAGTGGCATCTGAGCCAGGCCAGCTGCACAGCTGTCTCAGGGCTGGGCATGCAGTCCACACTGACACTTTAAAAGAATATGACCAAGGTAGGAACTCCAGCAAAGCCTTAATGTAGGTGAAAATCAATCTCTTCATGTTTTTAAGAATACATTTTATTGTAGCTTTGAAATCAAGTAAATTTTATCTTATGTAATGAGCTGTTTACAGACACCGTAAATGTTAGAAAAAAGACATTCAAGATACATTATTATTCTAGACGACCTGAGTTTTTAAAATTTAGTAATATAATATATAGAGGTAGTAATTAATATAAATACTGAATACTGTATATATAAATAAGTATATAATATGTTTCAGACTAGAATCTATGAACTGAGCTAAGCAGAGTAGTCTTAGAATGCCAGATGTATTTGGAAGCACTGCTGTGAAGCTGAGACACTCACCAGTCTCCTCTGCCCTCCTCTGTGCCTGCTCCTGGGCAGCCCTGGCACACAGCTCTCGTGCCCGCAGTCCTGTAGCGCTGTTCCCATTGGACACAGCTTCCAGCACCACAGCGTCAATGCTCAGACAAGCAGCACCATAATGCTTAGCCAGGGTCACAGCTGTCCTGGTTTTTCCTACAAATAAAATTGAAATACACTGCCCTGTTCGATGGACTGCATTTGTCTAGAGCAACACCCCCTGCCATATGAAACCGAACCCTTAAGATTCCTTCAAGAAATGGCTTGATGATGACCTCAGATAAACAACTAGGAAGTAAACCTGATGGCCCAATAGGATTTTGTGGACCCTGGGGACCTGGAGAAAGTTTAGAACCATGGGGAGCTCGGTATTATATATAATATTGTAGTACTTGTGTATTGTAATAAATTTTCCTGGCGACAAGTTATGAACTAAACATCAAAAGCAGCCAAGGGACCAGCTGGCTCTACCTGAGAGGGGCGCCCCGTGCACAATGATGGCGATGCCTCTGCGGTTCCTGGATGCCTGGCCCTCGGGAGAGAGGTCAATGCCCATGTGCCGGGCGATGGCCTTGGACACGGGGTTGTCCTCTAGCTCACCCACACCAATGCTGCTGCCACTGCCCGCTCGCTCTCTGCTCAGGTCTGACAGAGAGATGGGCACATCAGCATCACAAAATATCCACAACTCCGCCACCGAGAAAAGCAACACGGCTGTAATAATTAAGAATTAAGACAGCACTTGTGAATTAAGCTCACACTGTTTGTGTTTGGTGCACCAAGTTTTGCCCCACCCAGCTTGCAGGAGATATTCAGCTTTGCTACGGATGCAGGAATGCCTGTCTGGTTGCATGCTGGGTGCTTTGGGTTTGTGCAGCGGAGGTGGATGTGTGTTGGGGTACCTGTGCCGTGAGCCTTCTCTCTGAGGGGAGCTCCCCCTGTCTCTTCCTCCCCGTCTTCATTGACCCGGTCACATTGTTGGAGGGGGACATCCTCCTCCTCCTGTCCCAGGGGATCGTGTTTCTCCTCCAGCTCCAAACCCAGAGCGTCCTCGGCTGTCCTCGGGTCTGTGAAGGAATATCTCTGAATCAACTGTTCGGGCTTCAGAAATGCATCACCACTGGCCTTCAAGCTCTAGGTTGAGCAGGTTAGTTATAATCTATGGAGATTTCTGTAGCAGGCCAAGAAGCTCAAAAACCTTAAACTAATGATACATCCATCAAATCATTCAATTATTGAACGATTGATTTCTATTGAGAAATCGAAGGGATGTTAAGCACATGTTATATGTTGTTAGATTATTATTAGTTACTGTATAATTATTTATTCCATTCCCTGTGCAAGGCCTGTCTATGCCTTCTTGTCTCTACAAGTCCCTGTTTCCCTGCCTCCCAGCATCCCTACATCTGTGGCCTGACCTTCCTCCAACCGGCTCCGCTCCTCTTGAGCAGCCCGCTGCTCCTCGTAGTAATCCAGAATTTCGGGGGGGAGCTTCTCTCCCGGTGCCCGGGGGGGCAGGAGCAGGATGTTCTGAGAGTCATATCCCTTCAGCATCCGTAGGATCTAGAGTCAAGTAACAGGGGCGGATTAATGGCCCATGAAAGAACAAGAGGGAAGTAATTCCACTGTGGTCATTATCCAGTCCCGAACAAGGAACAAGCATAAGTGTGTCTTAACGGACTGGAAGTCTGTTTCCTAAACCTCTTAATCAGGTTTACTAGTATCATTAAAACCAAAGCTAACTAAACTAACAAGTACTGTAGGTAGCATTATTTTTATATACAATAACATACCTTACTTCCCAGCAACTTTTATCTACAACATAAATAAATTCTCAATTTTATGTTTTAATAATTTAAGTTAACCAAGCTGTAGATGTATAGATTCCTTTCAAAACTCCTACAGCTATCTCAAGGCTTCCTGCTGAACAGAAAATCACTTTACCCGACAGAGACAGAGACAACAGATATGGGGTTTGCCAGACCTTTTCCTCCTCCAGGTACTGCTTATCAAACTCCAGGGAGTAGAACTCAACAGGGAACGCACAGGGGTTTCTGACCACCACCTCAGCCTTGTCTCCATTGCTGTAGGGCAGGATGGGACCCAGCTCTAGCACAGAGGAGGAGAACTCCAGCTGGGGCTCTTCTCCATGGCCCTGGGCCAGCAGCATCACTCGCTGGCTGCTCTGGGCGATGCACAGCGTCAGTCGCTGGCTGTAGGCCTTCTGTGGAGAACAGCCCACCAAGTCCACCAGTTACATTCAAACATCCCTAACAGTGAAGTCATGTTGTTTCTGTCTTTACAGTGAGCATAATTTACAGTACAGTATGTGGTGCTGCACTTAGTATAGTTTCTGCTAGGAACCACTTGAAAAGTGGATGGGGCCCATTTCACATTAGATTCTTTTGAAATGCGAAACAACAATCTTTTTCAAATACCACAATAACTTAGTAATTAAACAGGTGTGATTTACATGTGTAATTTTTCTTGCCTTTTGGAGAAAAACATTAAAGAAAATTATTTAAAGAGGAGAAATTAATTAGCAAACATGAGCTGCAAATAGGGACATGGTAAGAATAAATCAGTATACAGTAGAAGTCACTGCACACACTGCACAAAGTCATCAAATTGTTAAGAATATTAAGGTTGTTGTGAATGCTTTCTGGAGGCTCTATTTAACTTGAGCTAAACAGGGATAGATCTGAACACAGTAGCCACTGGGTAATTGTGACCCAACTTCATTGCATCTTAAAATCATAAGCTTAAATAAATTAACATGCAATTATTATTTAATCTTACAGAGAGTATGCTTTAATGTTAAGTTGACCTGTCATCCAGTTAAGAGATATACAATCTGCAGCAGGCTATGGGATTGAGATAAGGCCTGGAAACACATCATCTATGAGTTTTCTGCCTTATCTCCAATCCCCAGACCATTATTGATTTTTTTTCTAATACTAGAACAGTATATGGCTTTCCACTGTGAAAAGCAGTGTCCATATAAATTATAGGAGCATGACAAAAATAGGACTGCTAAGGAACAAAAAACAGGTCTCATGAACCTATAGCACTGTATAGGCACCAGCTGAAAACAACTGAAATTTGTACAAACAGTATAATAAATGTGTTTTTATTTGGAATAACTCAGTTGCCCTAGACTTGTTTTCTATAGCTGTTTCACTTATTACAAAACGCAAAGAGTCAATAAAAAACAGATCTCGAAAACGCACAAATGAAATACCTACTGATTTAAGGTGTTACAAAAGGTTAGTGGATGTGTTCGAAAATACATCTCTCCCACTAACTCACCCCCTCAGTCGGGCTGAACTTGACCTGCACATTGACCCTCTCCCCAGGCAGCAGCTCTCCTGTGGGAGGCAGCATCTCGAAGACCTGGGGGGCACTGCGGAGCTCCTGCCTGGCCTTGCGTCGCAGATGCAGAGGAACATACTTGTCAATCTGCAATGGCCAAAGACAGACAAGCACACGCACTGCAGATCCTCTCCTGATACAAGTGAGCAAGTGCTAGCTAATGTGCACAAAAATCTGAATTTCAATAAGAACTATTCAAAATAAATTTAGGATGCTTTGAAAACTCAACTCACTGTGTTGGCAGAATATGAGAATGTCATAAATTAACTAAATTAACTGATCCATGATTATAATGACATGACTTCAGTGATTATGTTGCTGGGAGTCCCTAGCTCCTGGATACCTTTTTCTTCTGCCTCTCTGGCTCGCTGACGGACCAGCGACAGGTGACCTGCAGGTGGTTGTGCAGCTGTATGGTCATCACTCGACACAGTCCGCACTGGACAGAGCCGAAGTTCAGCGTGTCAGTGGAGATAGCCAGGGAGGGCATGGTCACCACTGCGCAGAGACGCACAGGAAATGTCGGCCCCCCTGCAACCTACAGGACAAAAAACACCCACAGGGGGCACCATACTGTAATCTCCTTCACAGCTACTATTTTTGCATAGCAAGCAAATGTACTGTAAATCATTGCCGGCTGTTTCAGTTGCTTCATGGTTTCCTCATACTTGTACTTCTAATTGACCATATGCCTTACCTTTACCTTAGAGAAGTACACATACACAAATACATTTCCTCAACACTAACTTAAAGCTATGTCCCGCTTATCCTATCATTCCCACCTGGATTGGCATCAGAGTGCTGACCTCGCCCAGGTCTAGATCAGCACCTCTAGGGTCAAACTTGACTTCAAATGTCTCTGTCTCACAATAAGGGAGGTTTTTCACCTTATCCAGCTCTGTGCTGAAACCTGACAAGAAATAAAACAGCATCAGATTATTGCAGGTACATTTCTCTATCACAGTTTTAAACTGAGTACTACAAACTGATCAACCATCATAACATCAAAGAACATTACTGCACAAACATCAGTGTTTTTTACTGGCTTTGCCATTTAATATTTAATTAGATAAGCAAAATGTCAGATTGACTAGATGGTGACATATATTTACGTGTTATTTTATCAATGTACAATAACTGAAGCATTCATGTAAAAATTCTGTAAACTATGTTAAGCAAATCATAGAGATCTGTATTTTATCATTTGTCTCCATCACTGCCAGAGATGACTCTGGCTGTACCTGTGTTGGTTAGGGGGCGCCGTTCAGCCTTGAAGGACACAGGAAGGGGGCCTGTGTTGGTCACCTTCGCAATGTGAGTGCACACACTGCCATGGATCACATAGCCAAAGTCCAGAATGTACTCAGGCAACAAGAACCTGAATAATGTGAATAGTGAGCGGCAAAGGTGAAACAACAGAAACAACCAATATTTTCCAAAAAAAAACCTTAGGCTGAACACTGAAAATAGGACGGACTCCTCTCCTATAAAAAAAGGGACATTTAAAAATTGCTTTTAACTTTTTTTTTAAATCATACAATGAGGTACTGTATCTTTTCTAATTGCTTCATAAGAAAGTCTGAATTTTCAACACACATTTAATCAATTTCTTCACAGGGATGCAGGGCAACACTGAAAGTAGATCTATAAAGCAAAGCTAGCTCCATGTAGGAAATAAACCGAGTAAGGGGCACTCAGCTACCTCCCCAGTTTCTTGCGCCACCACTGGTTGGTGCCGGTGACCTGGCTGCGAGTAGAGAGCAGCTCCTCTTGTTCCACTGAGTGCTCCTTCACCAGCAGCCTTTCCACCTCCATTTGCAGCAGGGTGTCGTACTGCCCGCAGCAAGGGAGAAGAACAGCAGATTAGCAAACACGGTCCAGCCTTCATAGCACACTAATCCTGCCCCTTCCCCCCTCTCCTACAGCTGCCTCACACATGCCTTTTAATGAAACAAGAAAGTCTGAAGTTATTTCTGATCTGTAGTGGTTTTGTTCTGAGCTTCAAAAACTGGACTGTAATTAGGACAGGCACAGTTTTTCCAAACTCCCCACACAATTCAGTGACTGCGCCTCTGAAGTTGCAGGTTCATTACTTCTGGAATCTACATTTTCAGAATTAATCCATTTGTGGACTGAAGGCCCTGATAGAAAAGTGCACAGACTCACTGAAGGGATGTACTCATCCACAGACAGGTCGGCACCCGCTGTCACTGAGCGGCTGAATGCCTCTTCTTTTCTTGTGTCATTCTCCAGGGACTCCTTTGCTTCTCTGAGAATGGAGCTGTATTTCTCATGATCTACTTGGGGAACAGCAAATTTTATCTTTATTGTAGGTCATTTACTAGAGTAGAGAAAAAAAACTGAAGGCAAAACGAAATGCTATTCAGTCAGTAAATCAAAAGGCAAGACACTAAGAGCTGCTTAATCTGATAACATTGTTTCTAAAATCTGTAATTGTCAGCACTAATCATAACATAGGCAGTGATGTACCTCTTGGGTGCTTGGCTTTTTACTCATCAAAAGCTTTTAACATCAGAACTATAGAGGATGTGTCCGTACTTGTGAGATTTCTTGGCAGATCCAGGGAAATTCTAGGGAAAATGCCCTCTCCTTTCAGACTGATGATGTCTGGCTCGTAGTAAGAAACTTGAATTTCAAAGCTCTTGTCGAAGATCTCGGGGACCCCAGGGAGGTAATAAACTGATAGTTTCTGTTCTCCGTAAGCTGGTATAAAGCCCTTTACAGACAAAAAAATGGAATGAGTTAAAAAAGTGAATCCATTACCTATGGAATTGTTAAAAGCTGAAACAATGTGGGTTAGAGGGTTGTTTCATAGTATATTCTTAAAATAATATTAATTCTTAACTCTTAAGTTTCTTTCCTGAATAAAACCAAGACGTGGGTCTTCATAAAAGGAGCTGTATCTAGTGGTTGTAGAGACTCACTGAGCTGGGGATGACAAGTGGGATCCCAGGTCGAGGGTGTGCTGGAGAGCAGCTCTGCTGGCTGAGCAGGGTGTTGAACTCAAAGCCCGCCTTCCCTGTGTTCTTAAGAGTGATCTCAGCCTCTGCCACATGGTCAAACAGCTGGGCAAGGGAACACAAGTGAAACAGTGCCAAAAGTAGTCCATACTGTAAATGCACTGCGATTTCCTACTGTACATATAAATTGATGTCATTTTCCTTCTTAAGTACAGTATGTGTCACATTTTCACACTAGCAAAAGGGATTAATTGTACTAGAGGGACTTCTGTCATAGGGTTTAAAAATATGTGATAACCTTCTCGGTTACATTCAGATATTTGCAAAGACGTTCTAGGTAAGGGGTGGCCGATCCTGCTCCTCAAGAGCATGGGTGTCTGCAGGTTTTCATTCTAACACAGCTCTTAATGAGCCCAATCAGCTCATTATAGGCTCAATGGGACCAATTTAGCGGCTTCTTCCAGCTTTTCAGGTGCGGCTGCTTTGAAGGGACCTGGTAACCCTGCAAACACACTGGCCCTCCATGACCAGGATTACCAATCCATGCTCTAATCCTAAAATAATAAATGGATTAAGTTTTTATTGTACACTCTAGGACAGCTTCAAGAGATGTTTAAGATCACAGTGATGAAAAAGTAATAGAAAACCTACTGTGATCATGCACATGTTGTTGTTTTTTTACCTGTAGCCCATAGTCAATCTCAGTCCTGTCAAAACTGTATGTGACGAGGGAGGCCTCTCCCTTCAGTGTGATCTCATATACTGGTCCTTCCTCCACCTCACACAGCGCTAGCACCTGTCCACTGATACCCGCATGGCCGTAGAATGTGAAGGAAACCTGCTGGCTCTCATTGGGCTGGAGGACTCCATAAAGTGGCAAAATATCAAAGACCTGTTGAGAGGAAGGAATAAAGAATGTCAAAACTGGAATAATAGGCAGGATATATAATACATAATCTCCTAGAATACAAAAATGCACCCGTAATACGAGTTTGTGGGTTTAGTGCTGCTGCACTTTTGAACAATTTTTAACTACACATATAGAGGAGATCCATAGATAACATAGATGTAATGTGCATTCCTATGAATACGGTACCAATTATAAAGATATGATTACTTAAATGTTGAACATCTTGAAACCGTTTTGCTTCTAAATTGATGAATTCAGATCCACAAAGCATGGACCTGAACAGATTTTTGCCAAAAGAAAAACAGCACTTGCAACAAACATGGCAGGAAATGTTAATGGTATAACAGCACCTCCTCCACTCCTACAGGCGGCTTCTCCTCAGGTTGTTGGTACAGGGTGGTGTGTATGAACTCTTGACTCTGAGATGGCAGTAGCCTTTCATCAGTGCAAACTACAGCTTGCTGCAATATAAACCAACAGAATAGATACAGTAAATTAAAATGTATCAGCCAATCAATCCATTCCTTCTGTATGGCTACATCCAGAATGCAATGCTTTTCAGAAATGAATGACACAAGTTACAGCATCCAAATAAGTCAAGCCAGTATACTGGTTATAACAAAGGCTTGTTGATCAGTTTAAAATACAGAGACTTCTAGACAATGATCAATGAATGGTGTGACTACAGTGACTTCCTACCTCGGCACTGAGACTGCAAAGGCTGACAGAAGACACTGGATCCTTAGGGGACCCTATTCCTTCCTTTGTCTCATATTCTGGATCTGTCTTCTCTTTATCCTCCTTATCTTCTTCGAAGGTTAGTTTGGGAACCTCAGTTTCCCTTTGGAAGCGAAAATAAAATCTAAAAATGTAGGTCTTTATTAAAACACAAGAGAGAGGGCGGGCAAGTTTGTCCGAGCAGAATACACAGATGGGCACAGTAATGGTATGTTCTGTGTCCTTCATTATCACCCACCAAACAAGGGGAACGTCATAAAGAATCTCCCACTTCGACAAGCAGCTCTCCTCCATGCCATCACAGTACACTGAAGACTGTAACAGTCATTTAAAGGAATTGTTCTCATTATAAATGATGAAGTATTGTACGTATTTCTGGATGAGAAGTGCTAAAGAAATACTACTGCTACCAGTTCTACTTGCTAAATCCTTTCCGTTTCCATCTGTATCTCCTGCTTCATTATTAACATTCCTTTCTTCTCTGTCCCGACAGGCAATGACAGGAGATGACAAGCCTTCACAGGGCTGTCAGAGCAGCAGGGGGCAGTGTTGTGTGAAACATTCCCATTAAAAAAAAAGGAATGTCTTTAATCTCATCCCACACTGCGTATTCATATGTCAGTTGCTGTATAACAAAACCAAGATTCCCCTGAGAAACACCTTTTTCACAGACCAAAAGGACAGAAATTCCAATCCCATCTCTAATTTTAATGTTACTTTACAAAGACACACTATTGGACAACACAGTTTACATGTCTCTGGGCAGAAAAAAAACCTAAACCATAAGACATAATATGATTTTCGTTAGTCTTCATTTAAAAACTGTAAGCATCCCAACCTCCCTAATGAAAAGGGCAGATCATTCAATTCTGTCATATTATACAGGGCGAGTTAATGACTAGGTGACTCACAGCTATATTTTTCCAAAGGTACTGAAAAGTAAACATTGTAATGTCAGCCCTCAGGAGAGTATGTTGCCATGATAACTACAAGAACTTAGCAGACTTTGTATTTGCGTTTAAGACTAAGGGATTGTGACTGTGTCAAGCTAACCTAGGCCAAAATGTGGCTTATTGTTCAAGCACAATCTCTCTGTTTTTGTTTTCTAATTTCAGCACACTAGTGAAAAGAAACTGAAGATGTGATGCTGCATAAAATAGTATATTGAAGTCTACAGAGCATCTATGTGTATTAATCCTACCAGTTATACATACAGGAAAAGCTTTTTTAAACAAAATATTTGCATCATCTGCTGGAATGAATGCAGAGCACACTGAAGACCTGTTTGCAGGAAATGCCTTAAAAATCCATGAAAAAATGTTAACTATTAAACGTTTAATCTAGATCAATTGGTAGAACACAGAGACCTGAGATATGCCTCTATATTGCCAATGAATTGGAGCACACTTTGTCAGAAAACACTGGAGATTTAGATGTCATGGAGTAATTCAATGAGTCCTAAGGAGAAGGGTATCAGATTAGTAAAGGAATTTCGAAAAGCTGCTTTCTTTCGATAGAGCTCATCAGGTCCCGGAGTGAGCACAGACCTGTTGGAGTCCACTCTGCTGTCAGTCTCTCCTTTCACCAGGAGATTCCACAGCAGGTCCCTGTTCTCCTCTCCCAGTAAGAGCTGGCTGTCACTCGGCCTCTCCTCCTGAGGAAACCTGTGGAGCAAAGACAGTAAACTCCCTGCTAACCTTTCATACAAGAAGCACACATTTCATCTCACCTACAGTAACACCATCATGTGTTAGAACTCTGTGACTATTGATTTGTTTGTCTGCACTGCACAGTCTAAGGATTCAGAAGCATTAATCCCTTCCGTCCAGCTAGTTTCTAAATGCTTCACCTAGTTCAGGTCCATCGGAGAGCTGGAGCCTCTCCCAGAAAGAGGGGTACATCCTGGACTGGACACCAGTCCGTTACAGAGCACCAATAGTTACCATCATGCCACTGTGCCTACAGTACCATATTCTGACTAATTAATTGAAATCAGTTGAGCTGCAGCATCAAACCATTTAGACTATTCCTTTTCATTATTAAAATATGATTAACAAATCACAGCAATTACAGAACCTATTATGACTCCATGAACTAGAGAACTAAGACTTAACTGTACTTAACTGGGTTGTAAACGGGTTAGTTCACATACACTACTTGGATTTTATGAGGGCAAACATGGCAATGGATTTAAAGACTCCTCTGCATTGCTGGATTACCTAGGGCGTATTTTTCCATATCACCTGTTTTTATGGAAAATTATATACCAAACACACATCATTAAACTCTGTATCCCACATTTCAGCTGCCAAAAGACAAAAAACTGAAAATAGTTTAAATCTGACAACTGTATCCTGACTAATAAAATAGATTTAAGTACCTTTATTGATTCAGTTTTTATTGATTGATACTAAATCTTAGGGAACCTACATCTTAATTAAGAGACAAAAATAACAGTACTGTAAAGTTCAACTTGCCAGACAACCATTGTTACTTAATGATTAAAATGACACCTTGCAAGTAGCAGGGTTAAGCTGATTACAGTTCAACAGCAGAGTAAATAATCATCCACCTCTTAATGTTTACTTAGCAACAGCTACAGTGCATTTCTGCAGACATAGTACAGATAGGCTGTGGCACAACAGTACACTCACAGTAATCTTACAGGCAGAACTGTAGGATGTGTTTGTCCCACATCACTGGGCATGTCTGTATCCATTTAGCATCCACCAGTACAAACACTGCACTAAAACAATCCCCAAGAACAGGTTCCACTTATTTGCCTTGTGGTGCAATTTGATCAAGATGGACTTCCTGTCTGAATGCCTTTTCTCTACAGTGATACGTAAAAACTAATACCAAAGGCAATATTTAATTTGCATTGCAGGTCCTCCTGTTTCAACATGCCCTTTTATCCAAAATAATACACAGTTTAGAGGAAACTGCACAATATTATTTACATTATTTATAATTTCAAATGTTGAATAACTGATTTTTTTTCAGCGCCAATTCATAAAGGTAAAATTAAAACCTAAATGCATTCTGAGTTATTTTAATGAGCAGCGCCTGTTTACTTCTCACCATCTGTCAACCAGAGGAATGAAATGAACAAAAATGATACGTTAATGAATGTAGAATCATCTCCAATTAAGGCTTGAGGGTGTCTGAAGGAACACTGCGGGGTACTTTGATCACAGAATGGGTTAAGTAAAATCAAACCAGCTAGTGAATGCAAATGGATTTTTTACTAAAATAATTATTTCAAACAATTTGAAATACTGCTTCCACATTTATTCTAAATACCAGTGCAAAAGAAGGATCTCTCCTCTACAATTAACAGTGCACAGAGCTCTGAGAACAAGAGCTAAAACTGATCATTCAACATGGAGTCAATACTTCCTTTTTAATGATCCAACTCCTAGCTGCTCAGGTGTGACGCTTCAATTGTTCATGGCCACTGCAGACCATTCATTATGATATAACACTTTTTCATACACTACTTGCTTTGGTCTCTCAGTGCAAAGAAACTACGAAGGCCTGTACCCCTACTGACTAATGAGGGGCACAAACACCATTAAAACAACAGGTGCTGTTCCTCTGGGTCTGTGCTCTTGTAGTAGTTCTTGACAATGCAAAGCGAAAACTTTCACATGTGTCAGTACAAATATGAATGTTGTTTTTGTAAAATAACAGAACAGAAAAAAATGTGTGCAGAAGAGATGCATAAAATGCATAAACTTATCCTTATAATGTAACTAATCAGCATATTGGCCATAAAATAATTATTTATTTTTACACAATAGTGGCTTAATCATGGTCAGTAACTTTAAAAACCAAATACATAGCAGAAAAATGATTAAACAAAAATTGCATTGCATTTCACCACATTTATCATTTAAAACAGCAGTTATTGGAGCTGGGGAAGCACTTTAGAGCAAGGTTCTACTCTCTAGTGCTCCGAAACGAGAGAATATCTACTGGTGCCATTTCAGAGAGAGTCTAGCCCTGTCTTAACATGGACACCATACAGTACAGTATGTGATCTCTGATAACAATAACGTTTGCTTGATCTTCACTTTTTATGGTGGTTCTTGTAGAAAAAGAATTGAGTGTTAGTTAAAATATTTCAGCAGAGTCCATCCTCAGTATTACGTTCTTTTGTGTATTATATTTCTTGATATTGTTTAGGACTAAACTGTTATTGCAGCTTTATGGAAACAAGCAGCTAGTGCACTGTTTTATTAGAGTCTGAGTTGAGACATTGCCCCTGTTATTTCTGCTTAATTATGATTCACTGAGAGTTTTCAATACAATGAAGTGTAAAATTTTACTTACAGGTTGTGCAGCTACAAATTTAAATTATCCTAAAACTCTGGATTGAACCCATTACGACCGCATTGCTTTGCTGGCTCACTGGGTTTGTGATACAGTCCATCTTGAAAGGTAAACTGTTACATTAAATGGTGTGGGTTGAAATATATTGGAAACAAGGGATGAGGTCTCTGCCTTCCTGGTCAATTGTCTGTTAGACTGAGTTAACAACGCCACTAGTTTTACCTTATTTGTTCCCTGTATTTAAGTATGAGTTCTTGTACGTAAAGTTCCATGTGTTCACAAAAAAATATTAGCCAATGGACATGTTTTTAGCTTCCAAAACTTCTGCCACATGGGAAGGCTGAACACGCGTGTGGCTGAGGCTTCCCACCTGATCTGATGCTGCTCGCTGTCCACCAGGAAGGACCAGCGGAAGGACACAGGCAGGGGGCTGCAGTTGACCATGGTGAGGTGGCGTTCGGCCTCGGTGTGGTTCAGGATGCAGCCAAAGTCTAGCATGGTGCTGGAGAAGTGCAAGTTGGGGAAGTGCACCTCCCCACGCAGGGCCACGCAGTCCTTTTGGGGGTGCTGCAGGTAGTGGATCCCCAGTATCTCGTCCACCACCCGTGTTACTCGGTCTGGCTTGTAGGATGGCTCGAATCGCACCCACACTTCCACCTGCTCTCCCACTCCTAACACCAGAGACTGGGAAAAGAAATACCAGGGAAGATCAAACTGATTCATTCGTAAAAACAATGGATACAAACACATAAAAGACCATGTATTCTGTGTTTATTCTACTGCACTGTAACTACAGAGGTAGAGACTATCAAATTGGTGCAGTGAAGTTCGCAGTGGGAGAAGAGGAGGATTCCAAAATCTCTTAAACCTGTACTTGAGCCCATCTGGAATATGTAAGATACAGTATTTTCGAGAAGGTGGTTTAAATTTTATTTATCTGTTCTACACAAATCTTACAGTTTGCTGATGCAAGGATAAATGTCTAATGAAATAATCAGTTTGTCCAATTGGCAATATAAATGCCACTAATATAAAATAAAGAAAGCAGGAGCTCAATTATGTGCGTTGTACATATTAATACTCAGTTGATTACGTCTTTTAAAAGGAGATCTGTATTAATGCTTTTAAAAAAAAAATTCCATTACTGAGAAAAGAAGTATGAATGAATGCATGAATACACATCGCAGGAGTCAACCAAGAGGCTGTTTTTGAAAGATAGCAGAATCCGTCAGTGTCAGCTCCTTTCCAAACTGCTGACTAGCTCATTCTGTTCTCACTCTCCCCTGCAGAGGCCTCAGGGCGTGGGATCCCATACCTTTGATGTGGAAAGCATACGGTCTCCCTGCCTGTCACAGAGAGCGAAGGGCTCCCTAAGGGCCAGCTGCACAGTGAGAGGCAGCGAGGAGACGTTCTTCAGGAGCAGAGGCTTGTACAGAGGAGCTAGGGCAGCAGCGGGCCTCTGAAAGACATTCAATACCCCGTCAGCTCAGCACAACTGTCCTCTCTTCTCCTCTCCTTCCTTTTCCCCTTTCATGACATGACAGGAAGCCGAACTGGTCAACTGGCTTAGAACCTAGCTGCAAACACAACAAAACGAGGACACGAGACAGCAAATGTGCATCACGGCCTGTCCATGTCCTGACCTCTAGAATGAAATAAGATTTCATTTGAACAGGGTCATAAGGAGGAGAAAAAAAGTCCCTCGTCATTGTCTAAGAATATCTGCACACAAGAAGTGAACAAAATGTCACAATTGTAATCCATCCTCTTCAGGGCGTTCCGGCTCTTTCACATTTTAGTTGATTACGTGCACTGGCCTCCAATCCTGCCCTCCTCATTTAAGGCGGGTGCTCTTTCTACTCCCGGCTCTGCATTGGAAGACGGATGCCCGGAGGCCTGCCTACCACCAAGTCGCGCTACACTTGTGGCTTGAGGACATAGTCCTGACCCTGCTGAGTCCAGGGCTCAGAGCGCCTGGCCTCGTGATCCCATTGTTCCGTTCCGGTTTTTAACTTTGTCTTGGATGGATCACCCGGTTCTGGACTTTTGGACTTCTCCCTGGATTTTCCCTTGGACTCCTTTGGACTAGTTTGCCTTGGCCATGCCCCCCATGCCCCAGTTCACTGTCGTCACGCCCCCTGTTTGTTAACCTGCCCAGTTCCTCGTCGTCTCCTCCCCCTGCCCGTTTCACATACTTCAGGATTAGACCGTCTGCATAGGGTCCTGACCAATGCATCGTAACACAAAATGAGTAAGCAATTTTCTTTGTTTCACACTTCATATTGAGCACTGAACGAGGGAGTAAATCATTCAGTTTTAGGACTGACTGACAAATATGCATGACACACAGTTAGGGCTATCTATCAAAGGTGTTAAGAGGAAAAATAACATTCAGATATGTAACAATTCAAAAATGTTAAAAACCTGTGCCAGAACATGCAATGAAAGTTCTTGTTCATAATAGTAGGATCCTCTAAACCCAAATCCTTGCCATATATTTAAATTTAAACAGCTTTTGGGTCTGTGATATGTGTTAATGTTGTTCTTGCTATGATTAAAAACAGTGAGAAAACAGTCTATACCAGATGCAGGCTGTTATGCAAAGCTGGAGAACAACTTCTTTTTTTATAAATGTGAAAGAAACAGACCTTAACAAGTCTAATTAGTCCACCTAACTATATCCAAGATAGCTCAGCTTCACTCGTATCCCGTAAATCAAAAACCAAGCTGTCAACTCTGAGATGAATGGGACAGGCTCAGATAAAAGAATGCCATATAAATAAATTAGCATTTTTAGTTCTGAAAAGCAGATTGGCAAGGGGCCTGAACACAGCTGTCTAAGATATACAGCTTCAGCAATATTGGGAAAACACAAGAGGGCTCACATAATAAAAAATGAAATAGATGAGACAGAAAATCAGTGGGAGCCATTCATTAAAATGACCAGATGACTCCATTATTTATTCCTTCTTCAATAATATTGTAATTGAGGAAAAGGATGAAATGTTCAGAATTCCAGCAGGGAAAATTGTAATTGCGGATTTCCTCTGTAAGATCAAGGGCATAAAACAGTAGTGACAGGAGCGCATAAGCAGACAATAGGAGGGCCACATTTCCTTCGGTATTCGATAATGCTGTGAAGCTGTTGTGTTTTTTACAGGTCTTAGGCATCATGTGAAAGTTTGGAGGACTTAAAAGCATGTTAATTAAATAATAATAAAAGCATTTACCACATACCTGTACTGTATTTCTGAATGCAAGTGCTGTATACATGCACCTACAATAATTAGTTTTTAAAACAGTCATTAAATGATTGTCCAAACAGAAAAAAATGTTATTTGTACAATAGTTCCTGCACAACAGGATGATGCCAATTGATTTTTCCATTTTATTCCAATCTCATAAAAATAATTAAAAACAAAAATCACGAGCATACTTTCTTTGAAGGC